ACAAGCACTGGAGCGACCTACAACATCAGAACAGCCAAAGAGCAAAATGAGAATAAATGCCATCGAGTTCACAACAAAGGATGGTAAACAAATGCAAACAACATCCAATAGAGATGCAGAAGAAATCAACAATGAAAGGATCCTACTAGAGCCAATCATACATGACACAGAAGGCTTGGATGCACAACAGGTAGCACAAGGAATGAAGAAGGAAGTACAACAAATGAAAGATCAATCAGTCTTCACAGAGATTGATGGTAACACAATGACACCCGAACAACAAGCAAACATCATCGAGTCTAGATGAGTTCCCAAACAGAAACACAACGAAGTGCGAGCACGCATAGTAGCAAAGGGCTACACAGAACCCGTTACAGACCACGATCTCTTGTTTGCAAGTACACCATTGTTTTGCATACTGAGGATACTCCTTGGCAACAAGAAGCTCAAGCACATGATCAGATACCTTAAAGGAACAAGGTACTCGCGACACAACCTGCGACCAAAGAAACAAACACAGGACAAAAGAATTCCAGTCAACATTGACACATACACAGATGCAAACTGGGCATCATGTGAGCAAGGAAAAGCACAACAGGATTTGTACTGTACTTCTTTGGAGCAGCAGTACGTTCTGGCAGCAGAACACAAGCAACCATAGCACTTTCATCAGCAGAATCAGAGCTGTACGCGATTGGTACAGCAGCACAGGAGAGCCTCTACATCAGCAACTTCGTCAAGGAAGCCTTCGAAGTACGCACCAACATCAGGATACACACAGACAGCAGCGCAGCAAAATCAATAGCAATGAGAGAAGGTACATCAAAGACAGCAAAGCACATCGAGCTGCGACACCTCTTCATACAACAACTTGTCAAGAGCAAAATCATCACAATGCACAAAGAAAAATCAGAAGAGGACCCAGCTGACATTCTGACAAAGTTGTCAGCTGTGACACCCTCAACAAGCACTTGTACAACGTTGGCCTGTGAGGACACACCACACCAGTTTCACACCAGTGAGTACAGTAGTCAGCACAGGTTGTTAAAAAAGGTGCACAGTTCACATATGATTGTCTTACTACCTAACAGCCGGCGTAGTTTCAATCTTTTAGGGTAGATACATCAGCCATGGATCGACCCTGTCTTTATGACCACTACATCTTTTCCCCAACATCTTTGGCACATGTCTCGAATAATGTTTTGATTAATCTGTGCAGCCATGTTGTTTACATCAGTTTGGTCTGGAGGTGCATCGGGTCCATACATCGCAATGGACATGCAGCCAATTACACCTCTGCCCATGATCACGCGCCCGTTTGCCCGAGAGATACAACGACCGCATGACCACATCGGTGGTCGACATCGGCTTCATCAGGGCTGACAACATCAAGGGCACAGACCATGGCATTAACCTCTCGTTGGCCAATCACAGCAATGCGCTGTACATCGCCCTCACCACGGAGGAGTACATCTCTTCTGTGGGAGACACAACTCCTACATCGTTGGAGAAGATCGGATACATCCCGGGCAACCTACGTTTCCCCGTCATTCGACTTTACAGTCCTTACAACCAATCCACATGACGCGGTGATGACAACACTGTTTCTGATGAGCGAAAGCAAGTTGGCTACAGCGAACACAACAGACCTCTACATCATTGCGTGGCACTGTGATTTGACAAAGCTTTTGGATCTTACATCGAGGTCCAAAGCAAATACACTCAACAGAGGCTACATGTTGCAGCAGACGCAGATCTACAGCAACAGCATTTGGTTGTTGAGCTCTACAGAGAAGGACGGCCTTACAGCTTGGCGTTTGGTACATCGCACATGCTTCTTTGACATCTACAACCAGTACACCTGGGAGGCAGGCTACATGCACTCGTGCAACGCCATCCTGTCCCTCGACAGTTTGCTTACAGCAGACAGCCAGGACACCATCTACGCTGGACTTTCACAAGCTCTTGAACACACAGGACTTTCTTCGTTGAGTTACATGTCCCCACAGCATTCCTCGGCAGTGATTACTAAAGATGAGTACATGCGGCTCAGATCACAAGATCTAGTTAAGCCCATGGAACAGATGCGTGCCATGCTGCTATCCTCACATCGAGGAACATCATGTTCTACCCTGAGTACATGGAGAAGATCAACGATTGCAGGAAGAGCCTGTACAAAGCAGACACAGTCGCGGAGAACATCGAGGAGGACAAAAAGAGAAAGAGGGCCGTGTAGACATCCAGCCTACAGCTGCCAATGTTTGGCACACCGGATTTTTGGGATCTACATCCTGCAGACATCAGGCCACGTGAGTACAGTTTGTATAGATGTTCGAAACATTAGAAGCATCGATGTACAAAGAGCAACAGCCAGAAGAGCTGCTAACAACTTTTACATCACTTCGGCCCATGAGAACAACACTGTTTTTGGCTTGCTGTAGAACTCACATCAATCCAAGAGGGGGTGTTAATGTACATCCATCCTTGTACATGACCTTGGCCTTTGTACATCAAGGCCTTGAGCCTATCTACACGATAACAAGTGCCGTGCTGTCACATCACAGGTTTGACACATTTAGGTCATCAGGTGTTAACACAGTTAGTTCCACTTTAACATATATATATATATATATATTTGACGGATTCAAAGTGGTATTTATTGGAGTCACATGCTTATCCGGCGATGTTTGCAAGGATCCATACAAACAACCTCTCACCAAGCAAAGGCAAAAGCTTGCCACACGCCGTGTTCGCAAAAACAGAAACACGCTGCTCTTGCATGTCATCTGCAACGTGGCTCGATACAGTCAGGAACTTGACCCTGACGGCACGCGCGGCTCCTTTGTGCTTCCGCTTCCGTTTCTTGGGCGTTGGCGGCGGGCCTCGCACAGCGAGCAGTTCAAAATACGTGAAGCCACAGCAGGCGTTGAGATCGATTCCAAATATGCCGCAAAATGAGTGCCTGACAACAAGTGCATGGAGAACTCAGCCCTGCGAGGTGCCACGCATGCAAATGAACAAACAGTCACCCATCTTGAGCTTCAATAGGCGCCCTTAGCCGCGAAATAATTAGGATCATTGAGAAAGAACCCTTTGTGCAAACAATGCAACAGCAGTTTGACCACGCCACACTCGGATACATGACCACCATATTTCAGCACAAGGGGCCCACATGAACATATTCTGATTCATTTCCGTCTGCCAAAGGGCTGGGTATTGTCTCCGTTGGCGCTGGAATAGAAGCACCTGCCAGCCAAGGAAATGCCCAGCGAGGCAATGACCAAATGTTCGGATCAGAGCATGTGGGAGCTAGTTGCTCTTGCTTCCCTTCGAGCCGCTAGCAAACCAGGCGACCCGAATGTACGCAACCCGGGATCCCCACAAAAGTTCACACTTTCAAAACCTCATTTGTCAATGTGCGTGTATGAATGTACCTTGACGCCCCCCTCCGCGCACGGGCCAAAACTCAAAGAGCCATTGGCGACCCTGGGTCGTTAAATGCTTCTTGTCCCTTGCTCTTTCCTCGGACTTTGGAGACTGACCCCTGCTTAATAATTCGAAGCATCCCTGAAAAGTGCACTCGGCCAATAATCACTGCCAATCTGGCTGCGCCGATCGAACTGCACATGGTGTTGGGTTACCAACTGAGACATGGTTCAGCAGCCTGAAATCTGCCACCTCGCTCGAGAAAAAAATGAAAGTTCCATGTGATTCATGTGGTTGAGTTGGCCATGACGGCTCCGGCCTACATCTTCTGCCTGTCCGGGAAGCATAGGCTCGCTTGTAGCGAGCTTGCTGGCATCTATCTTCTTGCGGCCATGCCTGGCTCCCTCCGGCTTGCCTTGGATGCGAACGGCTGCGCATCCACTGCTCTTCTGGCAGGTGTTTTCCATGACTTTCAGATTTACATCCAGGTCCTGCACAACCTATTGCCAAGTGGCAGCGCGGCTTAAATATGGCTGGTTTTAATCGTCGCGAGGTACGCCACCTAGCAGTATCAATTAACTACACCAACACTTGCAATACAGGGTTGCTCAGCCATTGAATTGCCGCTCCTACGCAAGACACGCGTGAGCAACATGTTTCGGGAATCGGCGGTGCTTGCAAACAAGCATGACAAGGAAAAGACAACAACCCTCAGGCAAATCGCAGGATGCAACCTGCAAAGAGGATAGACTTGTAATTAGGCGGAGTGCATGTTGACAAGGTCGTAGCACAGCTAAAAAAACGCTACAATTTGTTTATGAAGGGGAGTCACGTGCACACAAGTGTCCGGCCCAGCTTTGTCGTCCGGCAATCGGGACTTCGGCCCTCCCAGACCGCACGGCACCTCAAGCCGGCGCTGTCCAACGCTGGCCCACTCAGCGCGCTGGCTTGACCAAGTTAAACAATTAACAAACGCCTGCGACTTCCAGCTCAATCTAGCCGAACATCTCCCAAGCTGCCTTGACTTCCCGTCAATATTGTCTGGATCCGCATGTGCAATTTGGTAATGCCCTTTCTGGGCAGTGGGGCGGTCACCGGCAGGATTTCAGATTGGAACCAAGCAACACAAACCACATTTGTGCACAGTGTGACAACTCCACATGGGTAAAGTAGATGGCGCTTCCCTTCACTCCCCTTCCTGTTTCTATAACAATGGATTTCTGAAGAATGAGGGGGGCAACACAAACACCGGTCGGTTTTTGTGGCCCTCTGCAATGACAACACATCTCCATGAGATAAGCTTCATTGCTTAACCCTAGGATCATATCTTTCAGTGGGCGAAGATGCGGGATTCCAAACAGGGGGCCCAACAAAATGGACATTGTTTCCTTTTGTTTCCATGGGCCAATGAGGAAAGGGCCCACCATGTTGAAAGCTAGCACTTGTTGAGCGACCATTTTGGACATTTGGGCCCTTTTTGAGGCTGACCAAGTTTTTGTAGGGCGTCTATGGGAGCGAAAGAAGCCCACCAAACAAAAGGGACATGCCACTGGGAAGATGCCGGCAGCTGGGCATCAGGCCGGCCCCTTGCGCTTACGAGGCTTGGCCTCAGGTTTCTCCTCGTCCGGGCGCCGGAAGATCCGGAGGCTGCGCTGGAAGTTCTTGGGCAAATCCCCTGGCGGAAGGGCAAACTCTCTCTTAACACTTGGCCCAGGTGATGCCTCAAGCAAAACTGGCTTCAGGCAAGCCCAGCCAAACAGAACAGAAACTCGTGGAAAACGACACGCGGCACACACACACACAAAAAAGAAAAGAAAAACAAAAACATCTCAAAGTAACCATTCGCCATTGACAGTTTTGCGGTCACGAAAAAGTCCTGAAACAAATGTTCCCGAAAATGCCACCTACCACACACTCACACGAACTAATGATATAATTATATGTATATATGCCCAAAAACCCGGTGCGTCCAGCCTGGAGGCTCGATGGTGTCGACTTTCTCAAACCCCAGGGTCTCCAAGTAATCATCAAAGTCCTTGTGTGCCAACACTGTCCACCAGCCTGCTTAGCGATATTGGCCCCAGAATAACACGCAAGCACGGATTAGCGCAGGGGGTGTCCCAGTGGCTTGCGCCTTTCCTGGCAGAAGCCAAAACAACGCAGCGGCAACCAGCAAAATCTCGGCACGCCCGCTAGCTGGCAAAGCAACCGCTCCATCGCTCAACCCTCCTCCGGACGAATCTGGATACTGGCAACCATCTCGCGGATCTGTCGGGTAAGGTGCCGCTTCCTTGGTGCAAAGCGAGGAACCGAAGCCTCAAACTTGGGCAGCATACTACGCTACCCCCCGGTTCGAAGCATACTGGTCGTTTTTGTTCGACCGTGTTGCCGGCAACACTGCGCTATTCAAGTGCAGATCAAGACCTCGCTGTATGATTGTGCTCCCCAGTTGGCTCTTAAATTGGAATTGCACAGGGCTCATCGAATGCACATGTTTCTAGTTCCAAATGCGCCTGCTTAGCTTTCACGCAGTCGCATGTTACAATGTTCAAGCTCAGGCCAAACCCTTATGTCGGCCGTTGGCTTAGCATAGGCTTTTGGGTGGCTTTGTTGGCCGTTGAGTGCTGATTGTGAGTAGGCGATTCACTACGAATATTCATTCCGTGCTTCGTGTGCTGCTTATCATCCTGGCTCATTGCTTGCGCTCTGACTTACTTGAACGGTTGGCCACTCAACTGCCCGCGTTCGGAGGGCCAGTCTTCTGCTTTGGGGGGTTGCCGGTCCCTTGGGGCTGATGGAGTCCTGTGGTGTAGTGCGCAGGAACATGATACGTGGCCCCTGGCAAACCAAAATGAACCTGCTCACCGTCACTGACAAGTCAGCTTGTTGACTCTCTCTCCGGTTGCGTGGTGGGCTAGGTGGCTGAGAGCGTGGCTGGGTGGCGCTTGAGGCTAGGCAATGGGCAGCTTGGTGACAAATGGCCAAGCATGGCCAAATGATCGGGAATTTGCGGGAGGGTCTGTTCAGTGGTAGGCGCTTGGACAGGTTGCGTTGAATGGACAGTTAGGGGTTGTGCTGGTTGGTCCTGCGCGTCCTTTGCAGTATCCAAATGCCATGCCATGGTATCCACATCTGATATCGACCTGGCCCACTGTTTGGGGTGCAAGATGAATCAAGGGCTTAAATCACCAATGCATCCCGAGGCTCTTCTTGTAGCTGCTCCACTCCTGCGGCTCCAGGACGAAGAAGCCTCCTGGCCTGAAAGGTGTGCGCCAGAAAACGTGGGCGCGACCTACTAAAACAATGAAGCATGCCAAGACACTCTTGGGCATGCAGCTGCACGTGTCAATATATGCTCTCGAGCCCTGAGAAAGTTGGTTTTCTCACAAGCCAAGGATACCAGAACATTTGCTGCCGAAGCGCAACATGCTAGCCAGCAACTTGACCCTGTGAATCTCCCCTGTGAACAGATTGCGCAAACAAAAAGTAGTTGCATCCAAACCTTGCCCTTGGAGGTCACTTTTTGGGCACCCTGACACATCCCAGAATGAAAGTGGCAACTTAGCTTCCTCGTCACAAGGCAGGGGGTGGCCAAGCTTCCAGAAGCAGGGGCAACATCCACATTGCACATGTAGAAGAGGGGCGTGGGGCGGGCGGGAAAGGGATTCCATCAAAACTTGCCTGACCTTGGCACAACCTCTTGTTGACAAACAATGAAAGAACTGGTTTTTGCTTGCTAAATTGGAAAAGAGTCCTGTCTAGGAACACTAGGCTGCTGTCTAAAGACAGGTTTTTTTGCAGAAACCGCTTAGTGCCCTATCAACCAATAGCTTCCCAGAGGCGGCCTTCCGCAGCATCCATCCCCCTTAGAAAAGTGCAATGTGGCTGGCGCGACCATGATTATTTTGAGCTGTATTTAGCACATATCGTGACATAAGGAACGCGTGGTTGCCTGGAAGCTTGCGAGCCAGGAATGTCGAAACGGCAACGCGCATAGGCGGCAAAGAAAGCGTCCGTACAACGCGCAAAAAAGTTTTGAGGACAGCTTCTTCAGCATCGACCAAAGCACGCAACACCAGGTTCGTTTGTGTGACACTTCGTTGGACCGCGACAGTTCTTGACACGGACAAGGAATGTCATCAGACTTTGTCGTTGGGTTTGCTGGGGACGGCCCCTCACTTTGGGCACAGGTCTCCAAAGCGATGGATGTTCCTGGCCTGGTCCTCTTGAAGCACCGCTTGAACAGGTTGTGCAGACCAGTGTCGCCGTGCGCAAAGTGAATCCACTTGGTGACGGAGAAGCAAATTACCACCTAGGCCCATGGCTTGCAGGGCGAAAGCAACAGGCAGTGCCTCCAAAAGAAACATATCCCGGATGGTGGAACATGGTTTTGGACAACATACACACATGAGCCCGCTGTTTGTGACTTCTGCCAGGGCAATCTCAGCGTCACGAGGTATCAAAATTCTGCTTCCGGGAGAACGTTGTTCTTCGCGAGAAAAACACATTTCGCGAATCCTGCGCGACTCCATCGGCACACCCTTCCACCGTGCGGTCTGGAGCCATTGATGCTGCTGCAGTTTGGATTGAAAACCCAGTAACCATGAAGTTCACTTGCACTGGCCAGGCTTGAGGCAGCGTGAAATTAAAGCAGTCACTACCATTCGCCCTTCCCATGTGGGTTTGCGGTGACTGCTCCGTCCTGAACAAGCTCCATGGGCTTCCCGGCCAACGAATTGCCTTGCGCCAGTACAAGCACAGGCAGGGAATCGAGACGCGAAAAAGGGTTCGCTGTGGCAGGCTCCTTCGCAGATTTTTCGCGGGCACAAACGCTTACAGTGCTTTGGTCCTCCACATGGTCCTTGCAAGGACCTGTTGCTCAACTCCGAAATAACAACTCAATCCTGATTGTCATTGCGCTTCCAACTCAAAGGGTTCGGGCTTGAAGGTCCGTTTGACTGCTACCCCAGGTGTGTCGAAATGGCCGTGCCAAGGACTGCATTTCTCAACACAGCGGTGGATGCATTCAAGCAGCTAGCCTGGTACTGCTTGGGCCCCCGCTAGACAAGCAACCTGCGAATATGAAATATGGCTTGGCAAGAATCCGTAAACAGAACTTCTCTTGGTCATGCAACATCAAATGAGTTATCTCATCATTATAGTGGATTAAAATACACCGAATTGTCTCTCTCTCTCTCTCTCTCTGCCCCCTTCCTCTTCCCTTTTTTGGTCGTGGCGGCATCAAAGCGCTCCGGCAGGTCGTCAGGGGGCCGCCGCAGGGGGCAGCTAAGAATGTCCTCGTTGCGGAACTCCACGGAGCACTTGGCCTTGCCTTGAGGCGTCGGGGCACTCGAACGGCCTCATACGACACCTTGATCTCCAGAAACATGCTGTGGCATGTGATTGGCAATGGCACCCTTCAGATTCAGCAACGGAATGTACTCAGCAACTTTTAGGAGCTCACAGGCTGGAAGCAAGGGAACCCCATGACAGGAACCTTCATCACTTCATCATAACGTCACGAATCCCACTCCAACATGTCATGTCATGCGAAGAGACACGTGGGTGCTCCCTGGTGTTGAAGTTCTCACAGGCAGCCTCGATAAGGCCAGCGTCCTTGGGCCACGCTCAAGCTGCTCACACACCTCAAGATCACAAAGCACAACTCGCCATTGGAAGGCGCAATCCAGGGAAAGTGCTCGGAAATCTCTGCCAAATGACGCATGCAGGGAAGCACGCCACAGGAAAGGAACGGCTGAATGCTCGAGGAAGCCAGAATGGCATTGAATGGCATTCGGGGGCCCGGGGGGTATAGGTTGGGCCGTTGCCATCCCGCCCTTCAGCCACAGCAGCCAAATCCATGGCCACCACCAGGCTGGCACGGAAGTCCAGGGCGCAGGAGATGGAGACGTTGCCTGTCGTAACATATCGCACTCCGCCCCTTGACCAACGCACGAGGGCTTTTGTCACCATGACACTCTTCGCGCGGCTTTTTGTGCCTGATTACCTCTTTGCACCTCCTTGATGCTAATGAAGTGTATTGGCGAGTTGCTTGCCAAGACATGCAGTTCAAGACGTGCATGGGCATATGCTAATCGTCCGGCAAAGAAAGGCATTCAAAAGGCGCAAGCCCAGCCTGAGTTGCAGCCCACATCCAGGACTTCTTTGCCCTTGAAGAATCCTCAACATTGGGAAGTCGGGATGCCATGTACACCGTATAGCAAGGAAGTGCTAGCCGGGGCCGCGAGTTTGCAACCGCCAGTTGGCTTACGTAAGCTTCTATATTCAAGGCTTGCCATCAGACTGGTCAGCAGCAGCAGCAGCAGCAAACATGCAGGCACCAACTCTTGAAAACAGCTGCCTTCAGAAACATTCCTATGTCTATCGGTTCGCTGGTCCAAACAATGCCACCTTGCCTTGTTTTGGCTCAAGCACAAGAGGCAGAGAGACTTCATCGCAAACACCAACTGCCTCTTTGGCAAGGGATGGCCTAAATGGGGGGCTCCAACAAATGGAAGCACACCACATATCCATGTGGCTTCCTTTGCGAGACGCCGTGTTTCAGGGTCTTATCAAAATGTTGTTGCCGTTTTCCGCAACGCCGAGGCACCTTTGCCGAAGCGCTCGGTCAGGGCAGTAAGGCGCCGATCCCCGGAACTGTCGGGCTCCGAGTGGCGATAGCCGTAGTAACCTATCCCGAAACTGGAACTGGGAACCTACGAGAATGGGCACCTGGGACAAATGTGGCCCTTTTCACTCATTCACACCGGGACTGTGGGGAAAAGGTCCTCTTTTTTGGACGGGGGAAGCACACACACAAAAGTGCCCCCCCAAATGAAAATGCGCATTACTTTGGGGCCGATGAACAATCACGCTGTCAACTATTACATGTGGCGCATTGTTTAAGTGCCTCTGAACGTTGAGACCTTTCATTGGGGCTACTACTTGTTCACCTCGACCCCAGAATTTGAAAGGGGTGCGGATTTTTTTTTCAGTTTTTTTGTTTTTCGTCCAGTAAAATGTCATATTTTACAGCATTTTGTCGCGAAATTGACGCATTTTACACTAGCCCGTCAACATCCCCAGCATCGTTTTCAACATCCCCCGCATGTCCGACCAACATCCCTAGCATCACCAACAAATCGTGGGTAACAAAATCCAAAAAAGTAGCTGGCGGGTTGACAGCCCCCCCCCCCATGATGTCGGAAGAAGTTATGATTCAAGTAGGGGTGCAATGATTCAAGAAAGGGTGCGATAGAATTTAAAAGGCAGCGGGAGGGTTGGCACACGGATTACCTAAAATGTCGTATTTTGCAACATTTTCTCGCGAAATTGGACGCTCGGAAAAAAGGTTGTGATTGAAACAGGGGTGCAATTCAATCTCTGCAAGAAATCTAAAAAGTAAGGGGGGGGAGGCGGCAACCCCCCCATGTTTTTTGAAGAAGACTTGATTCAAATAGGGGTGCAATTTCTCTGCAAACAATCTAAACAGTAGCGGGTGGGTTGATGTCCGAAGAAGTGATGATTCAAATAGGGTGGTGGTGATGCTGATGATGCGGGAAGCCAAATCCAAAAACCAATGAAAGGGCGCAAAACCAAAAAGCCCGAAGGATGCGAAAAGCCAAAGCCGTTAAAAGCCGCCAAAAGCCGCATAACCAGCGAAAAGCCGCAAAAGGCAAAACGCCACCTGCCGAAGAGGAACTGGGAATGCAGAGGCACCTGCCGAACAGGAACTGGGAATGCAGAGGATGCGAAAAGCCAAAAGGCCACCAAAAGCCGCATAAACCAGCAAAAAGCCGAAAAGCCCAGAAGCCGAGAAGCCAAGAAGCCAAGAAGCCAAGAAGCCAAGAAGCCAAGAAGCCAAAAAGCCAAGAAGCCAAGAAGCTAAGAAGCCAAGAAGCCAAAAAGCCAAGAAGCCAAGAAGCCAAGAAGCCAAGAAGCCAAAAGCGAAAAAAATCCATCAAACAAGCGGGGAAAAAACCATCCTAAAATAAATACCCCTCCATTTGAAAGCGCCACACGGCCTCATGGGAAGTCAGAGGTTGACGGTTTGCCTGCGCAAGGCAGATATGACCTGCTTTTGCGTAAATGACACAGCCACAACAAAAACATCGCACGCGGCTTTTGAATGTCTTGGAGCAGTGCATTAAAATCTGTCCCGGCGGCTGCTGTAGTTCCCATGCTCGTAGACTGCCCGGCCCTTCTTGAAGGAGGACGGCCCCTTCACCAGTCGAGGCTTTTCAATTTCCTGCTGAAGGCAAGCCGCAGTTCACCTCCAAACTACTACAGTAAGCTGTCTGTGCACCGCAAGTCTAGGGATTAAAGTGACAAGGAGTCCGCACAGTCGACCGCCTGTTGCTCAACTCTGCCTGTAACATGGCTTACTCCTGACGCTCCATCCCTCAGACCGTGAGAAAAGACAAACATTTTTAGCACGCCATACACTTGCGCGCTGACAGTGCTTGTCACATGACGCCCCAAGCATCGTATGATATATGTCTTACAAGATTGGATGGCTGGAGGGCAAATGCCTTCGCAAGCTCGATAGGGCGGCTGTGAGTGTGTGTGTGTGTATCTCTTACACTGTGTTTGCTTCTTTGAAGTGATCATGCCCGATGTGTGGCCTCCCCGACGTCCGATGCAAGATGGCGGCTGCTGCCAAGCATCGTGCTGGGTTGCACTGGGCTCCTCCATAGGGCAATCCAAAGGTCAGTTTCCAGGAATTCACTGACCACTGCAGCAGAACGGCGAGATCGCCGATGGGCCGCTCGCTGTCACAGCCAGAGACCTGGTGCATAGGCCCTATGCCGCAAAGGCCGCGTCAATCTGGCGCTCGCCTCGGCCTGACCAACAAACCATCGCACGGAGTGACAATTGTTCACGGCTGCCAGCCTTCACAGCCACCAAAGGCGCGCCCAGTGGGCACCTAGCCCATTGTCCCACTGTCATCCACCGGAATGTCGAACACGGTGGGTTGGCCCCAAACGCGCTTGAGCCTCAGCCCGACTCCATTGCATCGTGCCCCACACCCGGCCAACGGTGTGCGAGAGCGTAGGCGGTTCCCCTACACTCCGTGGGTAAGGCGGACGTCTGCATATCAGTGTAGACTTGGAACTCAGCTTCATTCCTTGGCACGTTGTGTTTTGTGCCAATAGCTGTAGGGTTCTAAAATGCCGTTTGCTCGTCCCCGGTCAGTCCTTGGATTCCTGCACTTTCGAAGCTTTCGGAGTCTTCACCTGCGGCACTTGGGAAACAAAAGCAGTGCTTGCCGCAGTCTCGGCCAAGACCTTGTGACTTTCGCTAGGCGTTAGCCAAAAGGCGCCCCCACTCAAACAATAAGGCCCCAAATTAGGCCTGACAGGGGCTAACAAGATCTAATAGGGGCCTTCTAGGCAGCTTGCTTAGGGACTTCCAATGGACTTCTAATTTGGGGGCGCCTTGGCAAGGATAGTTCTGAGGGTGACAAAGCCTTCCAAATCACTCTCTCTTATCATATTTTGTCGATTGCAACCCGCCCGCAGACACAATGTAATCATCACATTGCAATCAAGTAGAAGCACGTTTACCCATTCAAAGCAATCCTCGACCCGCTTCCCTCTGCTGCAAACCGGTGCCTGCCTTCAAGGCCTTCGTTGCCAAGCCCCCAAGGGGTACAAAACCCAGAACGCGCATCCCGCAGCCTGGGAGGTCATGGGACGGCTGTAGACCAACAAAGCAGGGCAGGGCAAATGATTTGCGACTTGTGCCAATTGCATTGCAGCAAGCCCCGTTGCTTTCGAATCTGCCGCATTATGCAGCCACACGTTCTCCTTGCTGCGCGATGGTGAAAAGCGCGGCAGAACACATCCGCTGCATTTCTCGGCCGCCGCTAGCTGCTTGATTGCCTGCTTGCTGGCTGGCTGGCTGGGGTTGCTATCAGTGCTGCCGCTGCTGGCAGGCCCTGCCGCTGCCGCTGCTGCTGCCACCACAAACGCATGCAAGAACTTGTCTGTCTATGTAGTTGGATCTTTTATGCTATACCGCCTATCGTTTCAGGCATAATTTGTGCTCAGCGCACGCTTCAGCAGATATACCAATTGTTTTCTCACGCTTGGAACTGTAAAGGGCGGAGAATGCTAAGGCTGCTCTTTGCGAAACACTATTTTGACCAATCAAAATGACAAACAACACATGAGAAGTTTAATTGACATCCATGAAATGCCAAGTTTGGCCTCCTGACGTGCAGGCACCCCGTGGACCCCTTGAATCGATAACTGCCAAGGTGCCATTCAGCACGCGGGGCTCCAAAGGCCTTGCCTCCATTCCAAGCTCGAAGCGTCTGGCTCAGACTGATTGGTGCTTTGCATGTTTCTGAGTTACCCTTCCAGTTGGCACAATCCAGGTCAGCGGCTATCTGAGAGCTCCGATTGTCCAGGACTTGGCCACGTGTAGCAGTATGCTAAAAGTCTAAAACAAGGACGGTATCTGACCCCATGTCGCAACTTCCAAACTTGCCTGAGATCAACGTGGTGTTTCACAAGCGAGAAACATGTTGCTTGAGCCTCAAATACATAAGCTGGCTCACATGCACGATGAAGTATTGTTGAGCCTGCTTTGTCTTTCTGACTTTCTAGGGCTACCTGTCTGCAGCTTGTGTTTGATGCCACTGCGCTTTGTAAGTTGGATGGTTTGAGCTGCGCCGTCAACTACAGCTACAAAGCAGCCACCATTGAGCCAACATGGCCAAAGGAATGCGGCAGAGTGGTGTCCAACCTGGAGGAAGTGGATGTTAGCAACGCTTGAACGAAACCATCGCCCTGCAGGAAAAAGTCGCAGCAAATGAAGGCTTGTGAAGCGAATCAGAGGCTGCTAACTGCTTTTCACAGTGCCAGCTTGGAGGTTGTCAGGCATTGTAGCTTGGACACGTGCCCTGCACATTAGTTAGCTACGCCTGTTTGTGTCTTATTTTCGATTGATGCAAGTCACATTTTGTTTGTTTGTGTGCGCACGTGAGTAATGTATGACTGCTAGCCAGCCAGCCAGCCTGGTTGGCTGGTTGGTTGGTTGGCTCTTTGAATGTTTAGTGGTTTGAGAAGTGTCGCTTTGCTGCTGTTTGGTTTGAGACTGTGGGGCAGCCCTGCAGTTGTCAACGCAAGGTGGGTTGTGGAACCAAAGCTGCAAACTGGCTCGCCATGGTGTGGTTTTGTTCAACAAAGGTACGAAGCTTTGACAAGTTAGTTGGGCTCAAGCATGACAATAACTGGCCCAGCACACGCCATATTTACCATTGACTCTTCTGCATCCAGGCGGCGCTTCCAGCGATGCAGGCCCGCGCCACTGCGGAGCACGGCGCGACCTATGGGCGGAGTGCTGGGCATAATAGCCGCCTGAGGAACACGCCCAGATCCGATTGCATGTATGTTTACTGTTGTTTGTTGATTTTCACGTACACTCTGTTGCGCTGAGCCACTAAGTAGACTGTGCTCGAGTTTTGATGGATGCCTGACGCTACAAGCCCCGGATTTCGACAACCGGGGAGGCACACAGGAAAGCCGGAATGCAGGTGTACAAGGTGGGTGCCTTCAACCCGAACTGGACAAGAACGCCGGCCAAAATGCAGTCCCCTTTGTCCTTAGTTTTAGCAACGGCTGTCTGCTTCACATCGAGGGCAGTTACTAATAGAAAACCTACGGGCATGGCGAGCTGCGGGTTGCAGCGAATGAATCGGGATACTTGTCACTCACACTGATGTCTGCCTGCCCCTTGGGCTTCCAGTTGATTCAAACCGGGCTGCGAGAGCTGCTGAGGCCGGTAACGATCAAGCCCCAGACCAGCAGCAGCAGCTGCATGCCTTGAAGGCTCCAGCTGGATAAGGCCGATTGGGGGGACATCCCTGTCTCACTCTCAAAGCCAAGGAACCTGGGGGAAGCTCAAGAACACAAAACAAAAGTCAAAGACTTCCATTCCAGTTCCCAAGCTGTCCGAATTGACCTTTCAAGTGTCTCCCGGCGGCCCTGAACTCAGAGTAAAAGTTCCTTTGATAACAAACCCTGCAAGGATTCGGATCGGAAAAGGATTCGGATCCCTAAGGCTGTGGCTCAAGAATTACCCGAAACGGAACCCTGGTGAATGGAGACATGGACGACAACCTGTGCGTGGTTTAAGTTTGACCCATACCCACATGAATCCTTGAAGTTGGACCCTGAGGGGTGCTTCCGATCTTCGGTCAAGGCGCTGTACCATGGGATGGCTTCTGTGCCCTCAGCGCCCTTGGCTCCCGTGAGCATGGCTTGATGCCGGGTCGCGCAGCGCAACCCCCAAAATCAGTGGGTTCCCTTTCAGCCAAACCCCAAAAAGGGCACCCTCGCACAACCCCCCTCCCCCCAAACCACCGAACTTGAAGTTTCTCCCGAACAAAGGAAACACGTCATGCATGATGCGTCATGATTTAATTAGCACCTGGCTCTGAACAACAACGCGTTTCATTCATATTGTACTTTACCAGGTGGCAGAGCATGGACCCGCAAGGATTCCTTTCCGGAACACTTTATTTCGTTGCTTGAATTCAAGCATATTCTCAAAGCGGTCCGCCCCACACATGTCTCAAGATATCTTCATGGACAGGTTCGTCCTACGTGTGAAGTCCGTTGCGGCTGAACATGTGCCAAGTGGAAGAGGCATTTTCCTGCGTCAAATGAAGCCGAAAGCAAGGAAAGCCGGATGCAGCCAAGAGGGCTGGCCCAACCCCAGCGAGGCCATAGATGAGCATCACGAGGCCCAGGGGCCATAAGGCGCGAGTGAAGAGGTTGGCCCAGGCAAAGACGTAGCCTGCCTCTCCTGGGAACGCCCTCGCCCCGGAAGCACCAATAAAAAGAATTGCAAAATGGCCAACCATCCAGAGCGAAGGGCTCAAACACCACCTCGTGATTTGAAGGGCATGTATTTGCCCCGCCAACCCAAGAAATATACCTATTCCTAGATTCCGTCGCCAGACAGAAGGGCTGCTTGTTTGTTGTTCCCTCCGATGGGGTGTTTCCGCGCGCTTTTCGCGTTTCGTTTCCCCCTGTAAACAAGGGTTTCAGGGCCATTTTTGACGACCTGCGCGCGGGTTTGGAGCAGTGGGCGTATGTTGCGTTCACGGGCACACTTTCATGACTGAGCGCACGCCTGCCACATGATAAGCACCCACATTGACGCACGCATTATCATCATTGCGTGCATGCACACATTATCATCATTGCACACATTATCATCATTGCGTACATGCCTGCCACATGATCAGCATCCACGTTCACGCGCACATTATCATCGTTGCGTGCATGCCTGCCACATGATCAGCATCCACGTTCACGCACACATTATCATCATTGCACACATTATCATCGTTGCGTGCATGCGCGCATTATCATCATTGCACACATTATCATCATTGCGTACATGCCTGCCACATGATCAGCATCCACGTTCACGCGCACATTATCATCGTTGCGTGCATGCCTGCCACATGATCAGCATCCACGTTCACGCACGCATTATCATCATTGCGTGCATGCCTGCCACATGATCAGCGCCCACGTTCACGCACACATTATCATCGTTGCGTGCATGCCTGCCACATGCTCAGCATCCGCGTTCACGCACACATTATCATCATTGCGTGCATGCCTGCCACTTGATCAGCATCCACGTTCACGCACACATTATCATCATTGCCCCAAGGGCATATTTGAACATCGATGAAAACAAGCAGCGTCTGTGGGCGTAAAAACCCCAAGACGCATTGAACAGACAGAAAACTCTGGACCGAAAAACCGCGCGGTGAGAGCCCATCGAAGCGTTGTTGTTTGCTTGAAAAGGGGGTCGCGGCACTTAAGCCTTAAGCAAGCACCAGCTGCGCCATCTAGCATGTCCAAAATACCGGTTGACTGGAAGCGCTGTTGGTGACAGTGGCAATGGCACCTTGCTTGCAAGAATGCAATGATCGTTCATGATAGGATGCCAATGCTCTATTGGGCGCATGTTTCTTTCAAGAGACGTTTTTCGGACGGATACCCAAAGGACAAAGAACAAAACACTCGTTTTGGGAGGCTCCCCTATTTTGAGAACAATCCTTTGTTTCAACTACTTTCATGGTGCATGAAGGCACTTTGGCCAAGGCGCGCCCATAGTGCTCCATCACACACCTGGCAACTCAAATTGATTCGTGACTGCCCTCGGGCACAGAGTCGGAAAAGGAAGAACATAGGTTTAGCTACTTGCAAGGGTGACTACACAAGCTTCCAAAGCAAAGCACTCCCAAACAGAGTCCTCGCAGACTGTGAACTAAGGCGGACATTTGCTGCCGCAATGGACAATACATCCACATATTCTTAGGTTTCCAATTTTCACCAAGGCAATCACCTCTTCGCCCAAAATAATGTCAGGAGACGATTAGTAAACCCCCCCCCCGATTAAAGGTTTCCCCTTTTCCCCCCCAGGTTCTCACCAATATTAAGGTAAAGGGCCAACAAGGTTTCCCCAAAAAACCCTACCCAATTATTTTTGGGCCCTCCCCAAAACCCCCCTGATTAAAGGTATCCGTCTGCAGCCCCCGAGCCAAGAAAAAAACTGCCAGAAAATGGACTTTCCTTCTTGCTTAGTATTTGCGTAGTCTGTGCTTAAGCCCACCAATACTAAGTTACTATTGAACCCCTCAAGTTTTTGTCAAACATGTGCTTCCCCCAAAATGCATTTTTCTTTATTAAAATTTGTTAGAAATGACAAGGTTTTCAAGCTCACAAAGGGGACCCCCCTTGGAGGCCAGCCCCCCCTCATTAACAGAAAACTCCCCACGATTAATCAGGGCCCTTTTGGGCTCACAACCTAGAAACCTGCTGTTGCCTTTTAAAGTCCTACTGCCCAGAAGGGGCCATAAGTAACAGGACGAGGACCGAAGGGGATCGAGATTAATGGGGGTCCTCCCAACAATCACCGTTTTGGGGACTTGTCCAAACCTTGTCGACCTTGAAGGGGGGGGGGTTACTAATCAGTTGTCACCATTAGGGTCCCCCTTTGTTTATATGCTGCTCAAGGCCCATAGTACACCGGACACGTACGCAACCCAAGGCGGGACGTTGAGAACTCGTGACACGGTGACACTTTACTCCGTTGGGGTGTCTGCTAGTTGCCGTGTGGCCTGGGACCCGGCCTTGCACGCAAGGAACATTTAACCATTCAAATTCACAGGTACACCGGTATATCTGCTGGTGCTTGGCAGTCCAAAAAAGGGAAACGCCGGGAGACACAAAGCGGGAAAAGTGCCAAACTCCCACGCGTTGTGTTCGGCCCCCACACGCACGGCCGCCTAACCTATATTTGCTGGTTTCCAGCTTTGCGGTGGTCGAAAACAACATCCTCAACGAAGCGTTGGGGCGCCCGCAGCTGTTCCCTTCATGGAAAGTCCTTCAAATGCCAAAGTGCGAATGTCGTCTCACAAATCAACGTGCCCGGGAATTTGGCGCTGGCCTCTCCAGCACGGAGCCGTGCGGTGGTGCCAGGATGCGCAAGGCCCACAGCGCCTAGCCGCGTGCGGCTGGGTCGAGGAATCAACTGTTGATGAACATGGGTACCAAATATCAATGCCTGTGCATCCTCGATGGGTGCCATTGCTGTGTGCGTCATGCTGAAGCTCAAGATAGCCTTACGAGTTTAGGGTGACGAGCCGAGGCCATGACTAAAGCACAGCACTCACCAAGGGTCTCTCCAAGCCCAAGACATCACGCAAGCAAAATCTGAACAGCGTGCAATAGCCAATAAGCTTTGTGGACCGTCGATGCTGGCTGGACCTTTGCACAAGTTCAAGATTGCAAGATTGCCTGAGTAAGCAGGTAACACAAAGGCCATTTTCCAGCAACAAACTGCGGCCATATATGCGTATCCATTCTGCAGCCATGTGTGCGGTCATGCGTGCTTCAGGCCAGAGCCAAGTCCAACTTGAGATGTCTTGTGGTTAAAGGGCCAACTACTGCTTCCCAAAGACTCGCAAAACACGGCAGGCTCGCCGCCTAACTTGCCCCACTCGCCTTGATTACTGGGAACTGTGACCTCTTGGAAAGCATCAAGCCAACCAAGAAGTGCAAGCCAAGCCCCAACTCCAACGTCAAATGCGCCTTGCGCCAAAGAGGCGAGCTCTCGTCAGCAACTTCACTGAGTGCCTCGCTTGCAGGCTCACAGAATCAAGCACAGCATTCCATGGCCTGACTGCAGGATTGAGCCCGCATCCACCCTGGTGCGTCGAGAACATCAAGAGTCAAAGTTGGTTTGAGGCAAAGCTGCCCAACAGACTTTAACATATCAGCGAAGTGCATTGAAAAGTTGAGCACCCCCTGGACGAACATACATGCAAATGCAAACAATATGATTGTCGATATGTGTCCACGCTGTCAGTCTCGACACCAGCTTTCCTTTGGCTCGTGGAACCAAGGCCATGTAGTTTCACACAGTAGCACCGATTGCAGCAAAGGCACGATAGCTCCCGCCACATCACCTCACTCACCAACCGCCCGGTCAGGAGAGGTTCATACTCGGCTATTGTCAGAGTCCAAGGTAAACATACAGCCGGGATCTTCCGTGGGGGGGGGGGCCTGCAGCGGGATAGAACAGCGTACCGCACAGGGCTACCCAAATTGCGCGTTGTCGCATGGACGCAGGCACGCGAGACAGAGAGGGGGTGAGGGTTTTTGAGAGGGAGGGGGAGCGGGCACAGATTGGCTAGCTCAAAATCCACGTTCTAATCGCACGGACGCTGTAATGATGCTGGTGATAGTTTTTTGTTTTTCCGATGTCGTTGTAGTTTTTAAAGATTAGTCGTCGGTATGTCCCCCTCCCCTCCCAAAACCAGTGTTTATTTGGAGGGCGGGCACACATGCTGGCTCAGCTGCCAAGAGTCTGTCATGCAGTGGCCATACCCACGGACCGTCTTCGACGCGGAGATGCTGCGTGGCTTCCTGGTTGGCACCATGCGCCGTGCTGAGTATTGTGATAATACTTGAATGGCTACAAGATGTCACAGGCCAGTTCTAATATGTGCTGGATGCTGCGAGGATGCCCTCACGCAGCACGCCACAATGCCAGCCATGATTTGTCATGATGAATCCATGCACCCGGTGCAGCTCAGAAACACCTACAAGATCAGGCAACATCACGCAACCCACGGGATACGAACCCAAAATCCTGACTCCCATGGCTCCGCCTTGCATCCAGGAAGCACTTGCGGGCAAACATTCTAAATGTAGTGACCTGACCTCTCCAAACATCCCACCTGTAACGCACCATGGATCACTAAGGAGGATTCAGACTGCAACTGATCCTAACTTGCAATGAGCAATCATAGCCTGTCTAGGGCACTGGGTTCCCAATTTTGATTCGGCTAAACAGGCTCTGCGGACCCCTTAGGGGCGAACAGTTCTGCCCAAGCCCCCTGGCATTGTCCAAGCGGCACTCACCAGGAAAACAAATTCGCTAAGGTGCACCGCAGGCGTGACAGGACTGGAGTCTTGATGATCATCGCGATCCTGGGCCCAGGTTCTTTCAACAAGTTTGCTGCTCAGTGGGTTGCCTGTGCATACTCTTGGTGGATCCCTCATGCAAAACCCTTCATCAAAGGTGAGCCAGCTGCAGTCTAGACTAGTTGTGGCCACCGGCCACCAGCCATCACTATCGATGATCAGCTCAATTTTCATGGTAACTTGTTCTTTTCACTTGCCATGTCAAGCAAATCCTTACAGGAACAGGATTTGAAGGTGCTTGGCTTTGGTCATGCCATGCCCTTCAAGATTCAAACCAGCCCGAAATGACTCTCAAGTCTGCATGCCGAATGCAGAGCTTGCGAAGCACAGCCGAATACTCTGAACTCTGAAGCTCTGCCCAAGATCCAGCACCCACAGAGTTCTGGGTCTATTCAAGTAGGTCGTGTGGGCAGTTGCCTCCACCTGGGCTCAGGGTGCATTGCGCTACATGACAACTGGGAAATGTGTCCATTCCCGTGCATCCTACTCAAACCCCCCTGTTGGAATTGACGACCTCGTTCTTAAAAAGCCTGTTCAACGGCAAAGCTCACACTAGCTGGTTCAAGGTCCCTGCAATCAAGCATTCAAGCCTCCGAAAGCGCGAACAAGCGCAATAGAAACTCTTCATGTATCCCATCATGACACGCTCGCGCGTATCCGTGAAATCTGTGGAGCTCTACTTCCGGCAATTGCTTCGACATCGCCCTTTTTCGACGCATGAAACTGTGCTAAAGAACATGCCAATGTGAACCTAGCTAGATCCACGTGACTTTCTGAGAAAACAAGGATCGTGCAGCAAGCGAGGACCTCATGGCAATATCTGAGCTTGGCACATGCACTCGTGCCAGGCTGGCCAATGCTTCAGCCGCCTTAAATGAACAAACGCCGGGCTGTCTGATGCAATGACCCGTCCCAACCAACGAAGGAAATTCCAGGCTCCGAGGGAGGAACACCTCTTGGTCAGCGTACTCATAAGTCACAAGGTCCTCAAAGAGGCAATCACAACTGGTCTCTCTTCGTCACCCTCTCGAAACCTGCGAATGCCCCTTGAACAATGCATGCAGGCCTCCCTTTCAGCTGCAAAGGCCACATTGGTGCGCGTGTGTGTTGAAACCATACTTATTAGCTCCTTAGCCGAGTGCAGTGTTTGAAGAGGTGCAAGTCAATCATGTTGTGGCTGACTCTCCTACTATGTGGAGGATCTGCCCCAAAGCATTCAACCATGGCTCTGGCTGCTGTAAGGTATAGCGTCAAACATCGTCCAAATGGTTTCCAAAACATGAAATTGGTGCAACACTGCTCTTCGTCTCCCCGGAATGCCCTTGATTTGAACCGTCGCTGGTTTGCAGGGGATGTGGCTGCCACATGAATGGCTTTGAGCTCAATACAAAGTGTGAGCCAACAGGTGCTTCCTCAAGTTGACCGGCAACATGGCCGGTACCAGCTCAAAAAAAAATGCCCAGTGGGAAACACTCACCGGCCCAAATCCACTTTCTGTGCCCCTGAGGCCAGCACCTCTTTGTCCACCTCCTGGCGAAGAAGCATTGCCACCATTGGCAGCTTCGTCAGGTTCTCCTGCGCGAAACCCGACTCTGTTTGAGTCCGTGCACGTACGAAGGCGAAATGGATTCAAAGAGAATTCTGAGACGCAAAACCAGGGTTGCAACCGACCAGCCTGCGTTACCGTCCAAAGCCGAACACCTGAAGCCTTGCACTCTGACCGACTGCAACCGCACCCACAGACCCACGACACGCCATGAGACGAAGCTGCACCGTCCTCAACTTCATCAAGTTCCTCCTGGCAGTCATCCACCATGTCTTGGATGACGTCCAGAAAGCCACTTGCTTCCCTGGGCTGGTTGCACACTGTGCAAAGGCAAAGCCACAACCTGAAACACATTGCCAATGCATTCAGCATGAACCAAGGCTCCCAGACCTCTGTCCACAACATACCCGGCTTGCAGCCCAACACCCTAAGCCTACTGGAATGGCGTACACTATTAATTACAATCATTGTCATTATTGCTCATGCGCCTAAATTGTGTATACTTCTATCTGAGGTGTCATGCCATCACGGAAAGAATCTGCTTGGCCACCGTTGCTCAGAGCGGAAACTGTCCATCGAGGCTCCAAATATGTCGAATCTATCGGGTTTTGCCATGGTGGGTAATGGCTACTGGCAACTGGCCCCCTCTTCTTTGATGTCGCACAGTAGAACTGGTTCTGCAATCTCAGCACCCAGCCAGCCTTTAACAGGAAAGAGGCTTTTCTGGAAAGCCGCTGACTCCTACCTTTTCTACCTGGGGGTTGCCTGGAAGAGGCTGATAACACGCGAGACGGTGTTGCAACCATTGTCGCCCTTGGCGTTTGCATCTTGCGCTGCAAGATTACCAAAATGAGCATCCGACTCTTGGACAGAATGTGAGCCAGGCATCATAGCAAACTCCTCAATGGTGTAAGCCGCCCGTTACTCAATCGCACCTTTACTTCTAGTTGGTCACTACCAGCCTCAAACAAGACTACTCCAAATGCTACTCCCCCACCTAACTGAGCATTTGCTCGGAGTGGGAAGCCTGACATTGACCTTCAAACCGGGTCATCCTTCCTGCAACACATTTAGTTGGAATGGCCTTCACGCTAGCTTCTGCAGAGGCTCTTGACGTCTGCGGTGGCATCATCGCTCATGTGCAAATGATGGCACTATGGCCAGACTGACCGAGAAAAGTGCAGGTCCTTCTATGCAAAAGGCCCTCGCTTGCTGGGCCACTCGCTCAACTGCGAGTGGCAAGCTTCGTAACTGCAATCTGTCAATCGTGGTCGCAGTGGTAATGTATCTGGCCCACTTGTATTTCAGCTCTTTGCCATCCCCCTTCTGGCTGTGAGGTCGCGTGCCACGCCCGCCTCAAAATCGTATTGCAAAGCGCCCGCAGCATGGAAACAACCACTTGAACATACAACCAGGTGCCACGTCATAAGTTCGTCATGTCTCACAAACATGCCGGACTCCAGTAAAGTAGCAAATCTCGCTTGAGCCTCCATGAGGACTTCGAATCAGGGAAAGCTTGAAAGGCCCCCTTGGAAGCCCTCTCATGCGGAATCTGTACATCTCTTCCTCCCTTGGCATCCTGCCACGTTCCGACGTGTTGAGCGCCCTCCCGCGACTGCCTTGCTGCAGACTGTTGTGCCTCAGCCGGGTCACCAGAATCACTTGCTGCTAAGGACACATGCAAGAATACCCAAGCCGCACACGTCCTCCATTCCAGTCCCAACAGCAACAACTTCAATTGAACACCGCCCCCGCGCCAACTAAACAACACGTGGGATCGGATAATTCCAAGGTCTGCTTTGAAATCAGTGATTGTTTGATCTAGAAAAGGAGGGATGCACTGCACTTGCTCGTGAATATGCATACGCGGGCTACAATCATGTGCAGCGGCCTCCTGGTTGAAAAACCATGCGTTTGGTCCGGATCATGCTGTGGAATGTAAAGCTACGTCTGCCATGCGGGGAAATGATACTGGTAAGCATGGTTGCGGAAACACGTTTGACCTGAAAATGCGCCAGGCTGATGGTTCAGTGGTTCAGGCAAGCAGTGCCTCCATCCCTCAGTGGAAAGGCTTGTGCTGGGAAGTTGGAGCCTCAGTAAGTTGCTACGTGTCTAGGGCACCCCGCAGCCCTATAAAGCTCTGGCGTATAGGCCTGGAAGGGCTCAGGGCTGGCACACGCCAACGCCAAGGATGCCAAAAACAATGGCGTTAAATGTTCACGCCTTTTGGGATAGACGCTAGCCCTGAGATTCAATTGGACTGTAAATGAAAGGTTGGTGACACAAAACGACATCAACTCCAACAGCGCACTTGCTGCCAAGACTTTGTTACCAGCGGGCACGGTCTTAGCATGGGATTCTGAATCTTGCGCATCCCTCTGGGCAGTCTCCCCATGTCTCCCCGCAGGCTTCTCCCTCGTTCTGTCTCTCTCTCTCTCTCTCTCTCCCTCTCGCTCCCTCTTTCTCGTTCTCTCTCTCTCTCTCTCTCTATCTGTTTCATTCAACTAGGAAACATTCCTTTGTATTGGTTCCTAACGGGGAAAGTTACACTGCATGTACCCCCCACATGCGCGCATTGTTCTGGATGCGACAGCGGAGTGAGAGCATCAGTGTGAGTGTGTGTGTGTGTGTGAGCATGGGCGGAATGGAGGGAGGGAGGGAGGGAGGGAGGGAGGGAGGGAGGGAGGGAGGGAGAGAGGGAGGGAGGGGAGGGAGGGAGAGGGGGAGGGAGGGGAGAGGGAGGGGAGGGAGGGAGGGAGGGAGGGAGGGGGGCGAGGGAGCGAGTGAGTGGAGTGAGTGGAGTGAGCTGTGAGCGGGCGAGCCTTGCGAGCGGGGTGCGTGGAGCGAGCGAGCAAACTGAGTGAGCTCAGTTAATTTGAGTTGAGTTGAGCTGAGCTGAGTTGAGTTGAGTTGAGTTGAGTGAGAGAGCGATGGAGAGTGAGTGAGTCGGCATGAGTGAGCGTGTGTGAGTGAAGGTCAAATTGAAAGTGAGAGAACGTGAGAGTGAGAACAAGAACAGGAGAAAGTCCGCGCAGCTCAAAGCCAAAACTAGGGCGGGCAGGGCTGCGAACACAGCCTCCTGGCTGTGTCAGCTTCCTGCCGGCCCCAATCGGATTAAGGGTATCTGCATACCCCGTTCCGCGTGAGTCCGTGATAAACTGAAAAACCCCGGGCTCGCGAAATCCGCGTTAAAAGAAAACCAGTCTCGTGGTGGTTCCAGTGGAAGTAACCCCAGAAACCACAACCTAGTCAGCGTAAGGAAAATGAGGTGCATGGAGGCCAGTGGCATCCGGGCCGGGCTGAGAATAAAAACGGTTTGGGGATCCATCAAGGGCACGTTTTGTCGGCCGACAAAGGGGCTGCCCTCTTCCATCGCCGGTCCTCTCTTGCCTCTGGACGTCCTGCGTGCGGAGAGCCAAGAGGTCCGGTAGCAGAATCCAGGAGGGTGCACCACCGAGATTCTGCGCTGCACGTCAAAGACAGCTGGCTCGGGTCTCACATGACAAGTCACTCAAAAAAGCGCGCCTGCCAGGGGTGGGGGGGGGGGGATGGTGAGCACACCTGCTCAAGCGCACCCGCCCAGCACTGTATCCACGCACGCGACATAGGAAGCGCACCTGCTGAAGCGCACCTGCCTGGGGGGGATGGCAAGCACACCCGCTCAAGTGCACCCGCTCAGCACTGTATCCACGCACGCGAAATATGCTCAGCACTGCATCCACGCATGCGGGTTGGGGGGATGGCAAGCACACCTGCTCAAGTGCACCCGCTCAGCACTGTGTCCGGGGAATGGCAAGCACACCCGCTTAAGTGCACCGAAAGCGCACCCGCTCTCGCATAAAGCGGATTCGCACTAAAGCGCTGGGGTATCTTCGGATTCACGGTATACTCAGGTCTTACGAGGCCCAGAGCAAGACGCAACCGCCCCATGCATCCCTGGATGCGATCAAGCACGGATGAAAGGCTTGCAATACTAGTCTACCCAGTCTTTGTATGCCTTGGGACAGGCAGAGGTCTCGCCACCGTGCCCCCGTCTTTCATCTCCCCCACCGGCCGCTTCAAGTCGAAGGCCATAGGCGTTGAGGGTGGGGAAACAATTGGAAAAGATCCGAGATTTGATCCAGGGGCCAAGTCAGGGGTTTGAGCCAAAATGGCCCCGTTCGAAAACCTCCGCAAAGTCCGAGTATAAGTGGTGGAAGCAGGAGTTAACAGCACTTGGCACTATAACATCCTAGTTTCCCAAAACAAGTCTGGACAACATAAGAAGTCACAGTGCAGTCTGCAGCACTCCCAGACTCTTTTTCCCGCGCAAGTGGCTGAAATCGCTGCGAGCCCCACCATCATCACACCCGCGTCGTCATCCTGGGAGGGTCCCACCAGCTACAGTCTCCCTACCACGCTCCACCGGCTCCAACTCAGAAGCCACCCAAAGCTCTTCCAGAATGTTGGATTCGAGAAGTTGGGTGGTGTGTTTGGCCGATCCCTGCCCCCCACACTCCCCTGCCCTGTTGGCAGCAGCCGTCCTGCCTCACACGAGTCACACCAGCCCGTCCCCGGGTGTCCGCACCAGACACAGCCAATGAGTTGGTCCGTACCGACTGCCAGCATGCCAGTGTGTAACCAGCTCTGAGCATTGGATTGTCCACCCGCTCCCTTCGATTCGCGCAGTACCTGTCCCAAAGATCCCGGGTGAGCCGAAAGCCATCCGCCATTTGGTAATCCCGCGCAGGCATTGTGTGGGAAAAACCTTGGGCATTAACATGCACCATCCGCGGCCGAGATTCCGAGCGCCGGCCACACGGGTGTGAATCAAGACACGCGAAGCCAGGAGGCGCATTCCACCCCAAAAAAACGAAAGACCTCAGGAACCCAGCCCCCCAAAAAAAGAAGGGAGAGGTCGGAAGCAGAAGGGGGGTTTACAAAACGGCCCGGACTCTTTCTGACCTCACTGCAGCCAAGATCATGCCATGCTCTGGCCTGCATCGGGAAGAAAAAGGTCACGTCGCCACAACATAGCATCGCATGCTAGGGGGTCCTGTGCGCAACCCCCGTGACACCAGGCTCCAGCGCTTGCGCAGCCGTATCCACAGATGTCCCCTGGATCTCATCCGCACCTCCAGTTCGAGCCAAGATATCAAAGGAGAGGAGCGCCTCCGCCGATGGCTCCGAGAACGCCAGGCGCCATAGCTGTTCCGACGCCTGGTCGCGCTCGAACGCCGTCTTCTCCACTGCGCTCCAGGCCTCCACCGTCGTGGGCTCCTCTCCTGCGCACCCTTCTTGTTCGTGGGATCCGCTGTTCCCCTTGAGGTCTCGTGGAAATTCCAGGATTGCCGGCCCATCTCCAGGATGGTGGACCGATCCGACATCAGGGCCAGGCGGAGGGGGGGGGTTCCAAGAACGCTTCTTCAGGTTCCTTCTGGCAGAGAGATCAGCTAGAGTAGGCCCTCTGCGCAAGCTTCTTCATGTTGTCCACCAGCGCGTCGTTCCCGTCCGTGTCTACGTAGAGCCATTTGTCCATGCCAAAAAGGCTCTTCTCCGACTCGGTGTCGTCCAACCACAGAAAAGCCCAGGAGTCGCCTGAGGCAGAAACAGCGCTAGAAGCAGCCGTCCTAGCCCCAGATCCCTCCTTGGTTCCCAGGACAGCAGTTTCCACCGGAAGCTCTATATAGGCTGCTCCTCCATGCTAGGTCCCCCCGGGCGGGATACAGCGCTAGAAGCAGCCGTCCACCACCGAGGTCCCCTAGCTCTGCGGCCGTCATCTGCGCATGAGCTTCCATGGCCGCAGGGCCAGGCTCAGGTGCTGCGCGCTTGGCCAGCTCCGCCTTCACCGCTTCACCGGCTGCCTCAAGATGAGCATCCTGCCTAGCACCAGCAACCACGTCCATCGCCCGTTCCATCTACCCGGAAAACAAATGGAACAGATCCGAGATTTGATCCAGGGGTCAAGACAGGGGCTTGAGCCAAAATGGCCCCGCGTGCAAACCTCCGCCAAGTCCGAGTACAAGTGGTGGAAGCAGGAGTTAGCAGCACTTGGCACTATGACATCCTAGTTTTTCCAAAACAAGTTTGGACAACATAAGAAGAGTGAGTGAGCAAGTCGGTAAGTCAGTGAGTCTGTGAATCAGAAAGTAACTCAGTGAGCGAGTGCTTGAGTGAATGGGTCTAAGTCAGAAAGTCAGAAAGTCGGAAAGTCAGAGCCAGTGACTCAGTGAGTGAGTCAGTGAACGAGCGATTGTGTGTAAACAGTGCGATGACAGAGCAACATACATACAGAGAAAAACAGAGACAAACAACATCACGACAAGGAGAGAGAGAGAGAGAGAGAGAGAGATAGAGAGAGGGAGAGGGGGAGAGAAAACGATAAGAAAGCAACACAAAAGACAAGAACAACAAACACAACAAATAAAAGAACAACAAAAGCAACACAAAGAAAGCAAGAAAGCAAGGAAGACAATGATGAAAGACATACACAGAACGAGAGACAAAGAGAGAGCGAGAGGGAGAGACAAAAAGAAAGAAAGAAAGAGCGAGAGAGAGAGAGAGAAAGCGAGAGAGAGGGGGAGAGAGAAAGAGAGAGAGAGAGAGAGAAATAAATAAAGAAAGAAAGAAAGAAATAAAGAAAGAAAGACAGAGGGAGAGGCGAGCGAGACAAAAAAAAAAATGAAAAACAAAGAGAGAAAGAAAGAGAGAGAGAGAGAGAGAAAGACAGAAAGAAAGAAAGAAAGAAAGAAAGAAAAGAGAGGCAAAGAGACAAAGAAGCAGCGAGACAAAGAGACAAAGAGAACAAAGAGACAGAGAGTCAGGAGGCAGCGAGACAAAGAGCCAGAGAAAGAGACAAATAAAGAGACCAAAAAAGAGAGAGGAAGTGAGGGGGGCAAAGGCAGAGCAACAAAGCGACAAACAAACAAACTGAGAGACGCAGAGACAAACAAGCAACCAAAAAAGGCAAACAAACAAACAAACAAACAAACAAACAAACACAAGCGAACAAATCCATTGACACGAGGATCATTGTCATCGGGAATAGATGTTGACACCACCAAACGGAAACTGCTCCAGCAACAGCCATGCCTCGACGGTGGTCTGTGGCTCGGACAGGGATCCTGGTACGCTCTGCGCTATGGACACCGTGAAAACAGGACGTGGCATTTGCAACTGTATAGCGCTCTACTTGACCGTCTCTGACACACACACACAAGCACAAGCACCCGTTCACATACATACTCAAACTAACTATAGCATCCATACCATCCCACGCCACGCCACTCCATCCCATCCATATCAATACACAAATAGATACATCTTTTGCATGGTGGGAGTGCGGGCGTTTTCTCATTAGGCAAGTTCCTTGCCCAGGCATCCTGCAACCCAACGCATATATGCTGAAGGCAGGAATGCACCGTTTGGACTTGTTTCACGGCCGGCAACCCTCCCCGCAACCTCATAGCGCATCCTTGACCACCGGAGAAGCCAACCTATTTCTAGACATGGGCTAGATAGTGCTCGTACAGGAAGGCCTGCTCATCAGGAACTAAACGCATGAACCTTGAACAGGTCAAATGCAACGCTCTTTTGGGCCGCGGTGGGCTAGCATTTCCGCGGCTGCTGCTGGCAGCAAGCTTGCACTGCTCTAGCGAATCTTGCTGCCAAGTGTTGCACGTTGCAAATGTGGATACTATGGTGGGGCGAGGTTTAGGCACTGGACGTGTGCTTGCACTTGCGAGGGCCAGTGCTGCTTCATCTCATGCTGCTTTGAGCCGTATCCGCCAACCAATGGCCACATTTGGCTCACTCATCTGACAGGTCGGCAAAGGGATCCCACCTCGGTCAGACTGGCGGCAACTCCTCCGATTTTCATTTGCGAGGGGATTCACCGCTGCACGGGCCCAAAGCCACACGGCCTAGTGGGCGGGCTTTCGCAACCACACGAAGAGCTTTCTAAAGTGGGATTTGCAGCGCTCCATTTAGATCGCTCTATTTGGCTCCAATTGGGGGGGCAAGTTTTGCAGACTGCATTCATATTCGAACCCCTCCCCTTCCTACACACCTGCCAGGCTCTGCCACCTTGCGCCTTCCAGCTCTGCCACCTTCGGCGCGAATTGGGACATGGACAAAATAGATCCCCATGCAACCCCTGCGTCGAGCGCACAAACAACTCTTGCCCTGTTTGGTGGGCATCGGTTGCACTTTTCTTTGATCTTGGCAAGCCTTGTTGCCGGCCTTTGGGGCTTCCACCTATATGAAACAACCAGGGTGTAAAATTCACTGCACAGGAGCTTTGCCAAGCCAAAGATTTCTCCAAGCACAAACAAAAAACGGACTTCCGATGTGCAAACTGAGGTCGTGAACTCTGCCCAAGCCAATTGAACAACCCCAATCCGGAACTGCTGCGGCCTCTGGCCTGCTTCAAAAGCGGGAACCCGCTGTTTGCAAGCCAGGCAGCTCCGGAAAATCACCACATACCTGATGCGCTCTTGCGAAGCAGAGAACCCAGGAACACCCCCGATCAGTTTCATTGACGCAGCGTGAAAATTGTTTTGGAAAAGGGAGCACATGCTAACTTGTCGTGCATAGGTTGGCCGTGGCTCGGTTTGAGCTACCCCAACCTGACCCATGTGTCCAGGTGCGTTTCACTTGCTGGGCTGCACTGGAGCCGAGAAAGGCAATGAACGAGTCATTGGGCAAGGCTTTGGGCTCCAGGCAACCATTGTTTGCAACTTGTCCAATTCAGGGGGGTCTGCGTTCGAAATTGCACGCAGTCACATTAACATACTTGTGGAGATAAAGGGCTCACGCATGAGTCAAGCCGACACTTCTATTATCCCTGATCTTTGAAACTCAAGCTTTGCAGTGACCAATGCATTACACACACTGCAGGTGATGCCCGCAAACTACTTGGCATCATTAGTTGCATTGGTTATGCCTGCAGATTCCAACACATCTCTCAGGGTCGGTGCACATGATTTAACTTCAAAGTGCCACTTCCTTCGGCAGCTTCCACACCACAGGAGCGTCCTCTCGGGAGGGCGTGAAGTATTCAACGCCTCGGGAAATCAAGACGACGCTGACAAAAATACACGCATAAACACACAGCCACACATCCAGGCACAAGCAAGGTCGGGTATTGCCTCCTAAGCAGGGTTGTCCTTACCTTTCCTTGCAGCTGAAGGGCCGTCAAGCCATCGAGCGCCCAGGTGCACGTCATCACCCTGCGACCTGAGCTTGGACATCTCCCGCAAGGAAGCTTCAGATGCCACGGCCACCCACCCCAAGAGAAGGCAAGCTTCAGCATACAAAAGGATTTTCAATATGCAATTGTAAAAACAAAGTTGCTCCTTCAACAGGCGCGCTCGATCATCAGTCCACTGCTGCAACTCACTCCTTTGGGTTGGAACGCTTGTGTTTTGTTCTGCTTGATGTGTATTTTCCATGGACACGCTTTGTGGCAAATGCATCATGCATCTCTTTGCTTTCTCAGCCAAGCCAAAAAGATGTCTAAAAGCCACCTGCCTTGCCTTGAAGAAAAAAAAACGCAAGATAATTCGTTGATCATTGACATTAAGAAGACAAGTGCAGCCCCGCGCAGCCCCGCAAAGCTTTCCCAAACGGCTTCAGCAAACTGATCCGAAATCTCAAGGAACCCCGCCCTCTGAGCGAGGCAACCCCAAACGAAGCCCTAACAACAGTTATACATGTATTGTTTCAACAAAAGGCAAATAAACAATCAATCAACCAAGCAATCACGCAAGCAATCAAGAAATCAGTCAAACAGTCCATCATGTATGAATGAATGAAGGAATGAATGAGTGAGTGAATGAGTGAAATGAGTGAAATGAGCGAAATGAGTGAAATGAGTGAAATGAGTGAAATGAGTGAAATGAATGAAATGAATGAAATGAATGAAATGAATGAAATGAGTGAAATGAAATGAAATGAAATGAAACAAAATGAATGAAATGAAATGAAATGAAATGAAATAAAATGAAATGAAATAAAATGAAATGAAATGAAATAATGAATGAAATAATGAATGAAATAATGAATGAATGCATGAATGAATGAATGAATAAATGAATGAAGGAAGGAATGCATGAATTAATGAATGAATGAATGAATGAATGAATGAATGAAAGAAATAATGAGTGAATGAGTGAATGCATGAATGAACGAACGAATGAACTAATGAATGAGATGGATGGATGAAGGAATGAATGCATGAATGAATGAATGAGTGAGTAAGTGAGTGATTGAGTGGGTGAAAGAATGAATGAATGAATGAATGAATGAATGAATGAATGAATGAATGAATTAATGAGTGAGTGAGTGAGTGAGTGAGTGAGTGAGTGAGTGAGTGATTGAGTGGGTGAAATAATGAACGAATGAATGAATGAATGAATGAATGAATGAATGAATGAATGAAGGAACGAACGAACAAATTAATGAATGAATGACTGAATGAGTGAATGATTGGATGGATGGATGGATGGATGGATGGATGGATGGATGGATGGATGGATGAATGCATGAATGAATGAATGAATGGACAAAACGGAATGAGGGATGGATGGATCAATGAATGCATGAGTGCGTGAGTGAGTGAGTGAGTGAGGGAGGGAGTGAGTGAGGGATTGAGTGAAGACAAACCATAGAGATACAGTTTTTTCTGTAACATACAACAATTCACAACATAAAATACATTAAACAGTATATCAACTAAGCTCCTCAACACTACCACATTGGGCTCTTCCGAACATGTGTTGCCATAGTTACTCCCACCAGATTGTGAAATGAGTGAGTCTTCAAAACTCGGGGTCGCAACAAAATGCGCTTTCCCGTTTGGAAATCCCTTTCAAGCCAACCAAGACACACCCATGTGGCCATGGATCAAAATCCCGGTTGAATTCACCTACCCCAAAATGGTACCATGGGTTTTGACCCGCACGTCACGATCTGTTTCGCGTGGGGCTGTGGCATGTCCAGCTCCACAGCCACAAGGCTCTGCGCCAGGCCTCCCACGATGCCCACGAAGCGGACCACGCCACGGCGGCTGCCGGGCGAGACCTCGACCCGCTTGACACCAAGAACATGTTGCGAACGCACGGTAGGTTGTTTTTTTTGGTTGGTGCCTTTGTGTTTTTGGGTTGAGGTTTGTTTGTTTTTGAAAACATTGTTTTTTTTTGGGTTGAGGGATGACCAAAGGAAAATGGGAAACACGTGGCATCAACTGTACTCCTTTACATGACCAAGTGCGCTATCCCCTTGACTACTTGATCACTTTAAAGTGGATTACCCAGCATAAGCCATCTGTGCAAACGGATCAGCAAACGTTGGACGTCGTTGCTCTGCTCTGCGCAAACGGTAATAACTCAGGAAACTGTGGTGCTTTTGCACATGCACAACACATGCCTTCTTCTCTGTTAGCAAACGCCAGGCCGGGCCTCGCAGCGTGAGCCAAGTGGATGGCTCGGAAGGGATACCAATGCCTTGGACGCCTTGGACGCCGATTTCGGGCGAAGGGGACATTGCGTGCAGTCACAGCATGTGCCTTGCAAGGGCGAGGAACGCGTGGAGCATGTTGGGGCCTTGTGAGACCTAGCTGCTTTTTGGATGGCAAAGGCGGAACACCAGGCAAGCCCCCAGAGTTGTGGGCAAACACAACATCAATCTATATGCTTCACTCAGGCTGCAAAGGAAATCCTGAGTTTTGCGGGCCAGCTGCAAACTCCAAGTCCATAACGACCTCTTTGAGGTCTGTCTGGAGAGCTGAACCGTTCATCCAAATATGACGCACATCACACAATCAGCTTCAACATGAACTAAACCAGCTGCTACAGACCGCCCACAAGTTCGGGTTCTAATGAAGGGCAAGGCAAGTGGGCATTCATTGCAAGTTCACTCAGCCACATAGGCTGAGTGATGTGCGAACTGAAATAGTCATGCAACCATGGTTTAGAACATATGGCTTAACTCCTTCAAAAACCAGCCAAAGGGCCCACCATGCGTCTATGCATGGGGATGCATTTCAGCCTCCGCAAGCCTGTGCAGCCCAGTCGCATGCCCAGTTAGTGGTACCTCAGGGATCGCCTGGCAAGCCAAGGGGCTACACGTTCAAGGGTTTTCTCTTTTATGCTGCCTGTAAAAGGGGCCAGTACAGCCTTACACGCATGTTGGTGGCATGTTAGCCTCCAATGGTCCTGCTGCTTGTCCTGCTGCATAAGTCATAAGTTGTGGATATCTTGCATCCTCACCTTCCGTTCAAGTGTTCGTACATGAACTCAGGAATTAAACAACTCTCAAGCCCCAAGTGATTATATCGCAAAGGGTATATTATATGCTTGCATAACTTATACACACACATTTATGTTCAACGCCATGTTGGAACGGACTGCTCCTTGGTTTATGCACCTCGGGCTTGGACACAGCTGTAAGGTTCTCTCTGCGTGCATCTAGTGCTCTTCTGGAATGATCCATGCTGTGCTACATGCCGGGAAGGATGCGCTGCCCAAATTGTGAACCTGACGCCTTGCTTCAAATTCTCCATCTCGTTGCGGCTGTCGCCCAAGCCCTCTGCCCTCGCAACACCGCGCGCCTGCAAGGCCTCCCGCTGTTCCTCAGGATGAAACAACATGGCCCACACCATCCCACATGGAATTTTGAAGTCATTGGCCAACTAGGTTTGGTGTTGAAGCTCGAAGAGACGTTGGAGCCTCCCACAGGCAAATAGAACCAGCCGCACGTGGGTATCCAGGGCTGCGCAAAGTGGCCTTTCTGTAGAAAGTGGGTGGCAGCTCTCGTGAACACTGGGCAGGGTGCACTGATCATCCCATGAGGCACCCTCGCAAGCACCCTGCTTGACAAAAGGTCTGGCAAGGGGCTATGAATGACTTAGCTGATCAATGACTAACATACTTTTCACCTCCAACAGCCGACGTTTAAACAAAAATGATGCTGCCTCAGGATCACCAAAGTGGGCCCTGCTTTCATGGATCAATCTGTAGCAGCACAAGGGCATAACACGGCGGCCAAGCGGCAATAAGCTCCCGAGTGCGGGCACTCACCCTGACCGTGGGATTTTCCATGGCCTGCTATGAGTGGGTGTGAGAGAAAGGAAAAGGGTAAACATTCGAGCCTGTCTCTGTGTGTGTGTGAGCACTTCGTGCCTTTTTTGGGGGGCAGCTCGCTCGTGCAAAACAAAGTTGTGTTCAGTGGAGTTGCGGCCAAGCATCTGGCTCAGTGCTCAATATTTGTCAACTCAAGCGTTTGCTTGAAAGCTAAGCACCTTCCCGAACTTGAGAAGGGCTGATGGTTCTGCGCGTTCTGAAACGGCTGCAAGTCGCCCGCGATGCAAAACGGCGCGAAACCCAAGCTCTCGGCTCCCCGAATGCCACATCGCAAGCATGTCGAATGCTTAAGGCCCCACCGTCGTCAATAGACAACGGCTTCAAGGTTGCCTCATCTGCCTTCAGTTGTAGGTAGTAAGGAAGAGCCAGTTGCAGGCCTCCCCTATTTGCCTTTGAAGAACATAGGTGTTGTTTTCCGCTCTGGGCCAAACATTTCCGTTAGTTCCATAGACGTTAAATTCACAAACCAATCAATGAGCATGCTTCATGAACTTTACCCATGTTTCTGAAGTTTCTGCAGGAGCACGGACACCCGGGGGCTCAAGCAGCAAGCACGTTGTGGGCATGTACCAGCATGAGGCAAATGCCAATCCCACCGACCTTGCACACCTGCGCTTGCAATCCCACCGGATCCGCTCGAAAATCCTCTTGCATTTGGAGTCGCATGCTGATGGGTTGCTTGGCCCTAAGGCCCCAAGGAAAGGGATCCGAGCCTATTCCCGAATCTCAGATTCCTCAAAGCGCAAAGGTCTCAACACGCGTGCCCAAGCCAAAGCGGACGGACATCGCCTGCGTCAGCGAATGGAGAACTTCCACTTTAGCAAGGCCTGCCCCAAAGCAAGCGACCGCATGTAGCCTCAACCCGTCCTCGAACATCTGGATCTGGATCTACTGAGTGCATGGCTCGGGGATCTGAGATCTGAGGCTTTCCCAGTTTTTCGGAAGGGGTGGCTGGCATGACATGGGAAGCTTAAAGGAGGTCTGAGGGCCTACACTCCACTTGCGGGACAAACACGCATGGCGTGTGAACGCCTGGAGGTGATTGTGAAACAACATGGGCGGCTGACCTTGAACAAATATTGCCAACACAGGAATAACTATCTGAAACGTACCATGGATTGTTAAAAGACAATTGCGAGGAGTCTTGATCATGGGTGCTTGCATATGGTTGGCAAACACATCGGCAATCACCTCAATGGGATTTCTGCAAAAAAATCTAAACCCGAACACGTCTTGGGAATGTGAGTGCTGGCACAGCTCCCTATATGGTGTTTCCGGCGCTGGGTCACTACTTAAACTCGCCTCGTTTCATCAAAAGGCCTTGGCTGGCAAATGTAAGTTGCAAGGACGCACTTTTCTTCAAGCCGTGCGCAAGTCAGAACCTCCGCTGTGAGGCATTGGCCGTGCCGTCGTGCCAAGCTTGACAGCCATGCAGCTAGAAACCTTGCTACTTGGACGGGGCTTCAGGCATCCTGCTGGTCATTTACTACGTCTTGCATGTTTCGAATCCATGTTTTGTTTTTCCCCCCCCCCCCCGGGCATCTCCTGGCAGTGCAATTCGCAGCCATGAAGCACCCAGCCTGCATCGAACCACGTCGTCCTCTTTCTTGGGACCTGGCAGTCAGCCAGTCATCAACCAGAGATCGTTGAACTCGATTAGTCACACACCCTCCCAAATGAAACTAGCCCGGAAAAGGAAATGCAACTTGCAGGGCTTCCGCTGTTGCCAGCCTGCCACTACAAAAACGACTGGAGCCAGCCACAGCAAACGTAACGGCCTCCCAAGCCTTCACATCTTCCCTTTGAGCAGCCCGCTGTGTCCAACAAAAACACCTTTTGGTAGAACTGCCTGCAGTGAGAGATTGCGAGAGATAGCAAGAGCAAGGGAGCCTGCGGACTGTGCCCAGCCTTAACCATGCTCGCTCTCCAAGTTGACATGTCAATGCAGGAAGGGACATAGGAGGCCACTTTCTCGCCACTTCTGCAAAGCTGCCCGTGAATCTCTTGATCAGCTATATTTGATATACTAGTCAGCTTCAAAGCATGCAGTAACCAGGCTGAGCCAATGCAAACACTTGTCTACTCTTATGGACGGGCAGGTCTTGTCATCCTGAAGGGGGCAATGATACACAGCATCCCATCATGGATTCACCACCAAAAAAAGGATCATACCTGGCAACAGATTGATGACCAACATGGTATTGATTGACATTGATATTGATGAATATTTTAAAGATTCGGCCCATGGTGAAACATGCCGACAAGTCCTGAATGTAGGAGGAAGTGTGCCTGAGTCTGGGGTACAGAACGTTACCGAGCTGATGCTCCCCTAAGGTGCAGGTGCGCTTGTTGCCGAGGCTGGCATGGTGAAACAAAGCCGTGAAAGAAACATAAGGCGACAGAAGGAAACCAAGCAAACACTCAACTTCAATAAATCGGCGCGCTTGCGCCTCTGTCTTTGCTCGCTGCAGGGCTGGTCCCGCCTGTCACTGCCCAGCGGTCACGTTGCAGCGTAGCTTTTTGCCCACTCACAGAACGAGACTGCGCAACCTTGGATTGCATGGGCCCTCGTGCCGTGTGGGGTACCAGCACTTTAGTTTGGCAGTGGTTCTCTCTCTATCTCTCTCTTGCGCTCCCCCCCTTTCGGCGCATGTTTCTGAATGGACGTCCTGCAAAACCTGCGGTGATGAAACAACTTTGTTCAGCCAAATCTCTGGCAAAAGGCGAGATGTTGAAAGGCCGTTTCTTGCGAGCTTGTCCCATGGCCCGGCGGCCCCGCGCCTGCCGAGCCACATCTGCCTCGCGAGTTCGTCGCCGTTGGCCTCACAAGCCGGCAGAATGCCAATGGAAATGAAGAAAGAAGTCATGAACAATAGCCATTTTTGGGCCATGTCTCCTTTTCAGTCTTAACACCGATAACATCGACACGCATTAACACGCATACCATACATGTAAACACAAAACATGCAACTAAGTACATGCACATGCACAAGAGGACATGTTGGGGTTATGCAAAATAACTTCCCTTGAAAACTGCCCTTCCGCCACGTTGGAACACGCTTAGCTTGATTGTCATTTGATAAAACTATCGAAGTTCACCTGCCTAGCCTGGTTTTTGTCGTCCACCAAAGCAAGAACCAAACATGGCCAAGATGAGAATGCCACGTGGCGCTTGGGCGCCAGTTGCACTGTTGGGCCAAACCCAAAATGAATCACCAGCGCCTGGGCAACCGCGCCTAGCTTCCAAGCGCGTCGCAGTGGAAAACATATCACCGGAATCCTTGGCAGCATGGGACAGCAACAACCCCAGGGTGGCAACGCGCGGAAAAGGCGAGGAAAAACAAGAAACAAGGTGACTCAGTCAATCTGACTTAGCGCACAATATGTTAACAAGCACTCCGGCAAGGGTCGTGCACCCCAAGGAACGATTGACACTTTCCTAGCCTGTTGGTGAGACAAAATGATGGCCTCCTCAGGGTGGCAAAGAACTCAACGAATACCGCTGCTAGCATGCACCAGGTGTAGCGTTCAACACCTCTACAAAGCAACCAAGGAATGCACCACAAGCTCGATTTTACACATAGGGATGAATACGGTATTTTCAGAGGGAAGCTCAATGAACCTAGCCCCAAGCCAGGGGACACTCCCAGCACTTGAACTTGTGAATCCATGGTTTGTCGCCACCGGCACGTACCTTTTCACTCTCCGCCGTTGCTGCGCAAGTGAGGCCGCGCTTTGCAAAGCCTCCGCCAGTGGAGGCGAAGGTGACATGGCAAGTCAAACATTTAGGTCTGTGGGATCAATTGTTTGAAACTGAGAAGCTAGCGGTTGAGTCTTCAAGAGTAGCTCCTGTATTCAGCATCACGTGCACATTTCGAGCAACACCAAAAAATCCTGCGATCTGTCCGCACACGCAGAGAGTCGTTCAGCCACAGTTTTTCTCAAGAATCCTTGGGAAACTCGCGACCCGAATGCCATTTCGTAAAAGTTCCGCCTTGGAAAAGCAAACCCCCCAAAAAGAAACGCGTTGTTCTAGAAACCTGGCTTGGTACCGTGCTAGGCCTCGGACGAGCTCAACGGTGCCCACCTCAAAGCTCTTCCTGCGCTGGGGGCTCCTTGCGCGCTAGGCTCTGGAGACCTGGTGCAGGCCAGCAGGCTGGGAACTCAAACACTGCAATTGGAAATAGCAATTGCCTGGACGAAATGTTTCGAAATGTGAGGTCGTTCTCCTTCAGATCCAGCCAGCCCAACCAGTAGGCAGGCAAGCAGCCGGAAGGCTGGCTGCGTATCAAGATTACAACAGATATGTGCACATTGAGGTGCCTAGGCTAGAAGCCCACCAGGGCATGTTGGAAGGAAACATACGGAAGTGGACTAGACGGGAACTAGATGGGAAATGAACACTTTTCACACATGTGCATCCTGAGGCGTTTGGGCGCCTGTGTGGTTGCACTCTGGCGCAGCCAAGCAAGATTCTTAGTTGGGGATTGTTCGCAGTAGCATATATACTGCTTTTGTAAGTGCCATGAAGAAATATTGTGCAAAAGGTGCATGTCTGTCTATTTTGGCATAAAGCGTGGAAAGCACAAAGGCAAGATTGCAGGTTTCCTCTCCCAACGCTTGCGGTTGAACTGAGCACCCCTGCCCTTCCCCAGTCCGAGGAGCGAAACACCAGCGGTCGTGGATGGTCCAAAGCAGCAACGTGCACATCGCGACTGTAGTATCTGCCCAAGGCGCTGCTCCCAAGCAAGATGCAACATGCGAAACCAACCGCTCCATTCACATGAACAGGACCCGAAGCATCAATCAAGCCCTGTCTGGCAAACCAGTGGCTGCGCCCATGCTGCGCCCGTGTTGGGCCCACTCAAAAAGTCCAAACAAGTCGCCCAATCCCATTTTGCAAGGTTGCGCCTTGACACTTGGAACTCCGCACTACGTGAAGGAATGAGGGAGCTGATGGGTACATGGCCCAGAAAAGTATCGCCTCGGGATGCTGGGATGGCCTGGCCTGTCCCTGGTCCAAAGGGGCATCACCTGATATGGCCCGAGGCTCTTGTGCGGAAAGCTGCAAGTCCAAGCTCAAAGTGGACCGTGCCTCAGCGCGCCATCAATCTCATCGCGCCAAGGCTCGCCGTCCGCTGCAGCGGCCAGCGCAGGAGAAGAGGCCATCCTGTGCAAAGGGCTTTGGAAACCGGTCCTCTAGCGGCTGTGTAGACGAAATAAATCATTTAAATATACTTGGCCCCCTGACATGGGACAACAGACGTGACTCAACAACCTGTCCTCAACGTCGCAAAGCGCAGAAATCAAGTACAATCGCACTTGTCGGTCCAAGGCGCCAAGCACAATAGGCCGCAATCCAAATGTGCCACTTTGCACGCAGGAAGAAAAGGGGGTCTGATTGAGATGAGAAAGCTGCATCAGAGGGGCCACCATGGGTGCGTGCGGGCCGGGGCCCGGACAAAAACAAACATCCGGTGGCTCGCTTTGCGGAAAATAAAAGACATGGGCTCTTTCAGCCATTTGGCACCCAAAAGCTCAGGAAACACCTGGTTGTGTCTCGAAAAACCAGGTAGAACCAAGGTTGGCCAGCTTCTGTTTGGCTTAGGTCCCAACAAGACAGGTAGCCTCACACCAAACAAACCAACGTCTCGATTCGAGTCGCCTGGCCAAGGTAAAGCTGGACCACTCCGAGGCAGCGCGGCGCTCGGGCTTCCAGGTGGCCATAGGGTGGAGCATCGTCTCCTGACGTGGGGAATTTCTGGCCATCCGAACTTCCCACAGAGACTCTTCCACCAATGGGCTGTGGGTCACCCTGTAGCCCTGGTGAACATCAAAATAGGTGGTACATGGGTGTTCATCCGCCCCAAATGGAGGCATAGGTTGTGACCCATGGCCAATTAACATAGAGGATCCTTGAAAAGGAAGATGGTCTGCCAGGACCCTCCTGTCAGGTTCCAAGTTAAGTGGTGGGAGGGTACCTCCGTTTTACACGGCCATCCCAGTTCAAAGCGGAACGCAAGCAGCATTTCTGGATTGACAAATAAGGAGTATGTCTCAAAGACAAAGCTTGCAAGCCGAGCTTTGCCTGCGACTGCAGTGCCAGATGGCATCACCAGCCACGCCAGTCCAGCTTACCAAATGGCGTTCTGGGCAACAGACCCATGCAGTTGCTAGTACCCAAACACATATGGGGTGAGCGGACAAGGCATTCTTGCAAACAACATGCGGTGGCGTTGCAACCCGCAGGCAACGGAAGCATCCCACACCAGCCATTGAGGCAAACCACTTTTGCAGAGAAGGGTCCACGTCTTCGAAGACGGCTGCCATGTTGGCCAGAATCAGGGACTCGAGCCTGATCAAATGCAGCTGGATCGAATTTGTGATTGCCCTCAATCGTCCCTTGCAAACGGCATGCCAATCGCAACAAGAGCTTGCTTTGCAAAGGAGAAACTCACAAATGACCAAATGGCCTTTTCGATCCGCGGGCAACACTGCAAAAGGAACACGGCCGAAAACCCCAGACCAAGTGGCAGCCTACGTGCCAAGTGAAGCACATCAACACAACTTGCTTTTGGGGACCCCGGTTTCATGTTGACCCAAGTCAAGGGGTCCCTTTTTAGGGGGACTGAACTTGATGCAAGCGGCACGGGGCACTGTGCTCGAAATCCAGACCTTGCCACCTGTGTACAAGGCCCCGTCTGGGCCACAAGCACGCTGCCAGCATGCATGTGAGCCCGGCAGAGTCGATAGAACTCTTGACCTTGGCTCGGTCCGTTGGATTATGGTCGCATTGTGGGCGGACCTCCGCTGCAGCTCATGTTTTGGAGAGGCCGGAAACGTTTGGGTCACAGTCCTGTTCCTGAGCACATGCCTTTGACCCTCCTCTGGGATTGTGTTTCTCTCTCTCTCTCTCTCGCTGCGCCATCCCAAGTCCGGTAGCTTGGGGAGGGAGGAAGGGAGGGAGGGAAGGGAAGGGAAGGGAAGGGAAGGGAAGGGAAGGGAAGGGAAGGGAAGGGAAGGGAAGGGAAGGGAAGGGAAGGGAAGGGAAGGGAAGGGAAGGGAAGGGAAGGGAAGGGAAGGGAAGGGAAGAAGGGAGGGATGGAGGCAGGGAGGGAGGGAGGGAGGGATGGGGAGAGAAGTGGGGAGGAGAGGGAGGGAGAGAGGTTCCGAACATACGATAAGCTCTTCAAGCCAGGGCAAGTCGTCAATGGTTTTCGCCCGAGTACGAAGACGCCTCGAATGGCAACAAACAGGAATGGCACATCTCAAAGTCGCAGTGATCTGATTCCTAAAAAAAGCAGTTGAGCCTACACCCGAATCTAAGCTCTGCCAGCTGACTATAGAGCTTCTCCAACATTACATTGTCAAAAGCATCTGGGAAGTCCAGGATGATGACATCAAAGATGTCGTTAGAGCCTTGGAGCCAGCCCCAGGCATCGCCTGGGCTTGCGACTGAACTGCAGGTATCAACATATCCTAAGCTAGATGTTCAAACATAACACGAGCTTCAAAACACGGAACGTCTCGGCAAACGATGCAGAAGTGAGGTTGCTCACCATGCTGCCCCACCCCATCCCAAACACATGGAACGAAATGAGGTTGCACCAAGAAGCCTATGTCCTATGTGGAGGCTCCAACATGTTACCCACTTGAAGGCAAGTTGAACCGCTCAGACAACCTTGAGAAATCAGTGGTTGCTGTGACAAGCCTGATGAGTCCGGGTGAGCTATGGCCGATGAGCCATCTGCCTGCATGACCCAAAGATTCAATTGGCGTTGCGCCTGACATGGGCTGTGAAGGGTAGCCGGGTTCGGCAAACAAAGCCGCACGTGGATGTGCTCACCCCATGAAAGCTTGCGATAGTCCGACCTGAGCAAACCATGTCATCTTGTCCTGCCCAATCGTGCCCGAGTTGCCGGTGACAAGGTGAAGCCTGGGATCTTCAAAGCTGCCCCTGGCCAAGGAAGGTATCCACTCCAAAGAAAAGCGGGTGACCTCAAAGTCGATGTCCACCATGGTGGCATTGCGAAGATTCCGCCTGGCTGCAACAGTCTAATAGGAGTAGCTATGGCATGCCCGATTGGTATACACCCAGTGTTGCGAAACCGTGGTTTGCACAGCGCCCGCCATAAACCAGTAAATGATAGCAGATGCGTCTTGGACAGTGTACAGCGCAAGCGCATTTGCAAAATTTGACGAGTGTTTAGGTCTTGAGCGAAGATTAAAAACCCGTACCCGTAGGCTTGGACTAAACTAAGAGCCTGTCGAATGAACTGCCAAGACTCCACCGCAGCACCTCCCGGGGCCCAGCCCCATCACCGGAGCCGCCCAGGAATACGTGCGAAGGGGCACGGCCGTTCCTGACGTGCATAGCTGTCAACATGTCCAAAGGCTCAATGCTTGACGTTGATCCCAACAACCCCCCATGTTGTTCAGACCCTGGCATGACGATCTTATGGCCACCAAGCAACACGAACCTGATGGAGGAAAAGACGCTCAAGACAAATCACACAAGTTGGCATCCAGCATCCAGGATACAAAGTGTCGGGGTGTCTTGTCTTACCAAGTCTCTGGGCGAAAAAGGTAGAGAAAGCCGGGTGCACCATCATCTCGTGGTAGATAAATTCATCGACGCTGTGGCCTCAGAAAGCTGCTTGGTCCAGCGCTCTAATCCCTGATTCACGTTCCTCGGCTGACTACCTGTTTCTCACACTAATTATGCATGCAATGGGTTGCCACACTCCTCAAGGCTGCCCGCAGCTGCAAACTATATTTTGTCAAGCGTTTTGCTGGCTGCTGGTTTGTGGTGATGCTTGTGGTGGTGCTGGTGGTCAGTGGTTTGGGCGGAGGTGATGGAGCAGCAGCTGCTGCTGCTGCTGCTGCCGCCGTCGCCAGCGGTAGTCGTGGTGGCGGTGACGGTCACGATGGTGGTGGTCGGTGTCGTGTTCTTATCCTTGTTGTTGACGATGGTATGAACTGCGCTGTGCCCTCGCACTGAACGCCTCTGTTAAACAGCAGTGGCATTTCTGACAGTGGTGGCCAGCAGGCAGCGACACCAACGTTAGTCAAGTGCAAAGTTCAATAAGCAGAAAAGGTGAGGGGAATCTGGGAACGCCGCGCATTCGTTACTGTGTATCAGGCCTCCCTGAACCGAGTCCCAAAGCATGCTCTCATGCGAGCAGCCGACTTAAGGCGCTGACACTGAATCATTCCGCCCATCATTAACAGGCGGTTTCCGCACTCATCTTCGCGAATCTCGATCTCAGCCTGAAAGGCACGTGCAACCAAATGATTGAAACCGATGAACTTCTCCTGACAAAGTGGCAGATGTCAAAAGAACCGAAGCGCGCGCGGGTGCAAACAGGTCTCAGTACCATGCCAGCAGGACAAAGTCAACATTGAGCGCATGCAGGACAACACATAGATCAACAAACCGGGAAGGCACCAATCCAGAGTCAGTCACTCCAAATGTTCATGTGCCCAAGATACAGGCAACTGGCCTGGACCTTGGAGCCGCAACTTGAAGTGACATCGCCCATATCAAACCGACCTTCAAATCTTCAAATGCGCGAAAATGGATTGCCACCACACAGCTCTCGAGGGTCAAATTACCCTGGGCGTCCTTGGGCGATTCGCAGTCCCCGTCATACAACAAAGAGCAACATACTTGGTGGCTACAGGCGGTTGTCCCTGATTTTCCTGATTAAGTCCTGATGTTTAAATGAAGCCCCACTATGCAACCAAACCTATCTATGTATATCAAAGCCCACCAACAACGTGAAACACAACACAATAAGTTACCTACGCATCGGCATCAATCCGTACGAAGGGAACAACGCCCACACTGTCAGAAGGTTCTTTCCCCATAAAAACTTGCTTACGCCAAGTCTAGGCAGGCCCACCCAAACAGGGTACGTCACGCCGCATGTCCAACAAAGCGCCTCGAAGTCACTGGAGGTGGATGCCGTCACAGGGAGGTCTATGGGGTTGGCCCAGCTGCAATGCTCGTGTTCTGAGATGATCTCCTGAAGGTGTCGACGGATTCCCACGCAAGACGCCGAGCTGGGCCCCGACGCATGTAATTACTGAGACTTTGTTGGCCAAAAACACATTTCTCACCTAAGACCTGACTTGGAGATACCATAGATACCGTCGAATGGACGGAAAGGCACGGTTTCTCTGGTTTAGGGCCTGGCAGGGGAAGAAACACAAGACTCGGGGGTGCGGTAGCAACGCAATGAAACCCAGGGTGAGCAACGTGACCACATCCGGCTTGCACCAGCTTTCTCAGGCTGGAAACCCAACCGCCGCCCCACTGACACCAGCACCGTTTCGCCTCATGGCCCAACATGCTGCTCAAAGGAAATGCCAAACAAACTGGCCAACCTGTAGCACTGCAGCCAGCGCGCCACATCCAGAACAATTGTAGGTCTGTACCCCGGTGCTCGGTACCCCATAGTTGTTGCAAAAAAACAAACTATGATCCATAGCCAAAATGAGGCGAAACTGCCAGCAACCTTCCGGCTTGCATCCGTAAACGGTAAAGCACACAGGTTTCAGGATTCCGGAAGCACCGCCCCTCAATCCTCGATGGGAGCCATCAGCAGGTCGAAGCTGTCTGCGTAAAGCGCACACCCGGCCGGCGCCAGCGCCGCAACTGCCCAAGGTGCGCTCAACCAAAAATGCATCCAACAAAATTCAGGGCTTGCACCAAGAGGTTCCAAAAGTGCAAAGATCCTCGGGTCAGGGCCCTTTTGGATTACCCGTTTGAGCTTTCTAGTGCCAAGGATGTGCAACAAAGGGACCGCACGTAACCCGATTCCATTCAACGCCAGTCATCATTCAGAGCCTAAGGGGAGCCATTGCAGCCCAGCATATTCGTGCATCGGGGCTAAGGATCAACGGCCACGGCCTTCCCATCTGAGGCTCCTGCCAAGAGCTCGCCGCATCAGGCGTTCTGCACTGTTTTCAAGGTCGCGGTGTGTGAAATCTCCCAAACCCCATCAGCAAAATGCTTTCCCATATTCCATGGGACTTCTGAAGGCCCAGAGGTTGTCCAGGCCAATGCGGCGGGAAAGGTTGTTCTCGCTTCACAATATCATACAGCTTATGTCGCACGTGTCTTGCAAAGCCTGGAGTGGAGCTGGACTATGTTCGGCTGAATGCGCCATTCACTCAAGCCAAGCTGGCCGGCGCAGTCCCAGAACTGAAGACTTAAGAATGCAACACAAGCGCTGCAAAACAAAACGTGAGATAGGCACAACATTTCCAAGCCCAAGTTCTTTGGATTCTCGACACGAAGCATGAACTCCAGGACGGGAAACACTCCGTGGCGGATGGATAAAGTGCAACAGCAAAGAACACCTCACCTAGAACCTTCTTGAGCACCTCGATCTCATGTCATGAGGTTAATGTTGCGGGTGTGTTTGGATACCGGCTAGTCCAGTTCAGCCACATCCTGGCTGGTTCAGCGTTTGCTCACGCAAGCATTCCTTCCAAGCGCAACGCTTCTCCAAGCCAGTGCCGGGTGCTGCAACCAACAACCCTGCCCAGGCCCCGTGCGCAATAGCGCCGCAAGTTTGACATTTTGCACCTCGCGGCCTCTGGCACTGTACATGGTTTGCCAGGTGGAGTGATGACACACCTTTTCGTGCCGGCTACGATCCCCTCAGGGCTGCAGGAGCGTTGACCTCTGGGCAGGGCAAAAACTGTTTGACGTTCGGAGCAGAACCTCGACGTTTGCGGCGTAGCCAATAGGAGAGGGCATGGAATAAACATTGACACGCCAGGCCACTCGGCGTGCCCTGGAACCATGTGTGGAAAACGGTTCTGCCAAATTGTCAGCAAAAAGGCTCCGCAAGGTTTGCCAATAGGTGGTGCAAAGTTTGGGCCGCAGCCGCAACCATGGCAAAAAACGAAACAGGTGCTGCGAAGCATTTGACGATGTCTTTTCAGAGCTCAGTAAACTTTTGGCCTTTTGGCCTTTTGGCCGAGTTCGGAATGAGTTCCAGCAATGCCTGCAACTGGAAGCAGTTCTAGCTAGTTCTGACCAAAGGAAAGCAGGCAAAACCCGCAGCCAGCACAGCCCGTCCCTCACAAGAAGCCGACACGGCCTTCAGCTGCGAGGCATCAAGACCAACAGTCGGTTCAGCGCACGGTCCGGTGCTACAGCCGCTGATGTCCCCGGCCTCAGTTGGCACATGTTTCGAAGATGGGAAGCGCATGAAGTCCCGAACCGGTACTCAAACGTTTGGCGCCTGCCAAAGCATGTGGAAATATAGAGGAGCTAGGCTGGCTTTTCTTATGCCAATGTTTCGCAGTCCACAGTGAGCCATTGCGGCGACATGTAACCAAAACTGAGAAAAACTAGAATCCTATGAGGCATCTACAGCCGGATAAAAAGGTTTGCCAGGGCTAGCACATCCCGCAAGCCGGCGCTCACGGGGCTTCATTATTTTTGCCAGTGTGGGCGCTTGCTTTCCGCACTGCGGGCGTGACAACCACGCAAATAATCAGGCAGCTGCTCGGTCCCAGGCATGCAAACATACTTGTGCCCAAGGCGGAAGCCCCAACGGAAAACGGCAATCTGCAGCGTTTGCCGTTCCAGGAGCAAGCACTTGCTCACCGATGCAAGGTTGCTCCATCAAGATCTTTGAGGTCCCCTGAAATTGCGACCTGTTCGGCAAACTGCATAATCAAAGTTCCTGGGTCAATAAATTTGGCTGTCCCCAGCAGCATTCTACACAATCCTGCACGACAGGAACACTTGCACAAACAGGAAGGGTCGCGCCGCTTTGGGCCAAACCCGCAAATGTCAACCATATGTGGGTTTACACAAACCAAAAATCAAGCATTGAGCAGCTTCCACCGGCAACTTCCCAGTGCCAGGGTAACATTAGGCGAAATTGCCAGGGGCTTCTCCACGACACAAGCAGGGTTCCTAGAACCTTCTAAGAAGTTTGTTGCATCCTCAGTCCAAGTGCAGTATATGAAGCACACTCTGGCCGCTCCAGCTCGCAGCTTCTCGTTGCAAGGGTAGTATGCGATGTGGCAGCTCCAGTTTGCACACGAACAGGTGTTCGCAGTGTGCGAAGTATGCCTTTGCAGCTGTGTTACATACATACTGTATATACCCCGTGCACATACTACGCGAAGTGCCTTTGGGCGCTCCAGCTCAAAAACAAACTGTGTCTTTTTAACGCAAGTGCGCAGAGTGCACCTTAAGTTTGGCAGCTCCTGGTCCCCCCTCTCAGGGAGGACCTTTATATAGGTCCTCTCGCAAAGGGTGATTCTATACAATTAATGGTATGTGTTTCCTACATTGGCAACGGCACGCCATGCGGCCATGCGCTCTAAGCCAGCAATCGCAACTAAGGCCGCAGCCGCCAAACATATTTGCCAGTAGGCTGGGAGACCCATTCCTGCCCGACCTGTCAGGCCGGAAATTGAAGCAGTCAGCAGTTCACACTCATATTACGGTTTCCCATGGTCCCCCGAAATGGTTCATTTCGGCTTATGCTTTAAAAACTCATCACAAGGGGGTTCACCATCTTGAGAAGCGTCAAGTTGACAATGCAAAGGATCTAAAGTCGAAGGCAGCCTTAGCGCTACTTATTGGGAGGGGTTACACAAAAAGCTTTGCCAAGGCATATTCCCTGACCTCAAAAGAACAGTGTGAGGCAAACAAAACTGTTCAGTGGGTGCTAAAACATAGCCCCGTGGGAAAGAAGCTGTTCCGAGACTCAAGGGACACTAGGGCAATGATAAACAGCACTGGCAGTACGAAATCAATCCTACACATCCAAACTAAACTAGAGATACTAAAAAAAGACTCCTTGAACGATTATCGCCGCAATTGGTGTTTAGGTTTTCATCCTTTGACTCACTACCCCATGTTGGGTCCCACATGTTTCGCCTTGAGCCCTGAACGGCCTTGGCAAAGAAGGTGGGGGGGCCAAGGCGCCTGCTGCTGGCAATGGGAAACTTTGCAACCTAGATTTTCTCACCATAGCCCCTCGCCTCGTTAATTACTGCAATATCGGATCAACTGCCTTGGACACCGAAGCTGAAGACCAGTCAAACTTCGGGAAGGCTAAAAGCACAGGAGGACTGCAAACTAGACTGGACCGAATGATGGTCATACTCCAAGCTGAGCGACTCGGCTCGCAAAGGCAATTCAAACTTTCCCCAAATGCAGCCCGAGGCGTGTCTTCAAACCTGGGATTCCTCTGACTTGCGACGCCTTTCTGCATGTATCCGAACCCAGCCTGCCTCCCCCAGAGCATCGCAGCGCTCTTCAAGCGTCGGGGACCACGGCACCAAGCGAACCAAGAAGGCCCTCCTGGGTAAAAGCATCTCTCATGGTCAGAACAACCCAAGCAACAGAAACGCCAACTGTGCGGAGATCAGCGGGTAGCTTTGCTGTGTCATTCGTGCATGAAGCTGGCTCGCTGCGGCCATGTGTTGAGAGCTGGCGTCACACGTGGTGAACTACCATCGAGGTCTACTTTGGGTGCTTCCATTTGTGGCTCCAACGATGTGGACCCTAGTCGATTGGCAAATTTCAAGATGGAAGTTGACCGGTGGATGCACCAAGCTAGCGCTCAGAACGTGCAGCTCCAGCCAGGACTAACTCAGTTGCTCTATGCAAAGCTATGAAGCCAGCCATGCTCCCGACCCGTGCGAAACACACTGGACCAAACAAGATGCAAACAACTTTGCGACTGCCTCTTCTCCAGAAACTCTGTCAGGGGGCTACTTCCTTGCTTGCAATTCCGGATTTGTTGTAGACTTGGAGAAGTTGAAAGCAATGGTTCAACGCATAAAATTAAATGACTTCTGAAACCCAACCAGATGCAAGTGTAACTCAAGGTGCGAGCTGCCTAGAGTGAAAACACACGAATCGTGCCCGTCGGCCACAGGCGAGCGCGTGTAGCAAAGGCGCCTCGTCTGGGTGGAGGTGTTTGCTAAGGATCTGTGAGGTGTCAGCGGGTGGTGCACCTCAGCACACAAGGTCTCGCCGGGCTCGCGGCCGGTACTTGGGCATCAACATCCGTGTCCTTAAACATGATAGGAACAGCCAAACCTTCGTGCCACCAAAATGGCGGTGGGGAGGCCGGGTGTCCCTTTGCAAAATTCTGGGCCATGTTTCCCTGAGTACCATGGAGGCCCAGCAAGCGATGTGCCTCTCCACGTTGCAAGCGAAGATGGAATGCACTCTGCACATGGGCCTGAACATACGGCCCGCCACTCGACCCCAAGTCCAAACGAGGACCCTTTTTTTGAAGGTCTCAGCCTGGAGCTCTCAAACAACCGTCCCTGACCCCACGCAAATTCACATACCGTTGGTCTAGCAAAGCCTAGTGGCAACCAATTTATTTCAAACAGTCGATGTTCCCACACGCGCAGTTGCCCTGCGCCTGTGAATAAACACGATGGCTAGAACTAAATCTCGACGACGAGTTAGCCAGGACCAACCGAGAAGCAGCACAAAAGCCTTTCAAACGGGCCTGAACGGCTCAACTTTCTGAAGAAGAGAATCGAAGGTCATCCCAGATGCTCCGGGAAAGTGCCCAGATTCTGGCGGTGAGCCTTTTCGCGCTGCCAAGAACACTGCTCCAGTCCAGCCAGTTAGGGACCCTTCCACGTGAAAAGGGCGGCATGGCTTTTCCTGATCTGCAGCCGAGGCTCGCCTGCTTGGCCGGGCAGGAGTTTGTACTCAACACAATCGCCTGGGTCAGGAGCGACATACTTTTCACATGGAACTTCACCCTTGACCTCGCCCCAAAGACACAGCGTCAAGGGAAAGCAAGACAAGGAACGTATTGACACAAATTTAAGTAAGCCGCAAATAGCAGCCTCTTCCCGCCCTATGTAAACAAATGGGCCAAGGCCTCGCACGGCATCAGGACTTTGAGGTCTTGGCTGTCTGCCTTTGTCGTTTGACGTCTATGTGCCAAGGATCTATGCGCTGACGCATTGGCAATGGAAGCCAGTGGCACGGCAGCACCGAGCAGCTCTCTGTGCCGGCCGGGTACCATCCTGAGAAGGCTGTGCGGCTCAGAGCACCACCAGCATCAAACAACAATCGCTCGCAGCCCCTGGAAACGCTGGGCCCTGGTTGGGTGTTGGTAGCGTTGATGACAAGCCCCTCCCCTGCATGATTGCGACGTGTTGACAAACACTTGCTGAGGCAATGGTATTCCCTCCAGGATGCCCGCAATTCGTATTCCCAACATCCTGTGTGGGAGCCCCTCTCACCCTCTCACTGCGCTTGCAAGCAAGGCGTCTCCATGCCGCCAGTCTCCCTGCAGGCCGCATCCAGTGCCACCCACCTCAAGCTCTGGAGTTGCCAGCCCGAGAGACTTACAGAAAATCCTGTAGGACATCTTTTCTGGGTGCTTGAGACATTCCAGTCGCCCTTTTATCCGTGAACCCTCTTTTCCTGCCAACAGAACCGTCACGGCTCAAGGCTCAAGTGCAACCTGGCCAATTGCTGGACGCTTTAGCAAAACCAACCTCTGCAAGCGCCTGTGCAGTTGCTGCTTCGCATGTAAGCAGATCCTGTCGTGGCACTGCCTTTCAATGCGTGACAGCCAGAATGCAGGGCCAGCTGCTTAAAAACAAACCACACGCACACAACGCAAATTATGTCAGGTGGCAGCGTCACCGGATGCGGGCGCTCAGCCCTCTCAGCTGCCTCCGCCGTCCAGGAGAAGCCCACATGGGTTGTGTAGGTGTCCTGGCTGTGCTCCAAAAAACATAGGCCACACGGCGCTTCTAGGCAAAACTTCCGCAAGGTGACGAGGAGCAAAAAGCTAGCACTGGCTGTTCTGGCCACAGCCTGCCTGCCATCCAGACGTAAATCGGTGCCAACATATTTGCCTGGCGCTCAGTGAATGCACCATACCATACTCAAAGCAGAATGCCATTTGGGACTGGCAACGTGCTAGCTTGTTACCTGGGCCTAAAGCAGGACTGATCTGATCCTTCTTTTGGCCAATATACATCTCACGGTGTGCAAGAATGGTGCCAAGATTGTGTGGGTTGCCTGCCTGGCACTTGTTGGGGAAACGCTGCGCCCCAAAGGAATACATCTTGCAAAACCCAGCACTTTCACATCCGACCCAGTTTCAGCCCCAAGCAACCAATCAGGTCGGCTCGGTCCTGGTGCCAAGGGATAACGTTCTGGGAGCCCGGCCTGGCCGGCAGCATCACGGAAGGCTCGAATTGCTTTCGCGTCCTATTAGCTTAGTGCGTTGGCTTTTGGTTTTCCTTCTGGCTTCCCACCCTGCACCCCCGCCCAGAACCCCTGTACCTCTGAGCCAGCCCCAAGTCGGCTTAAATGCACCCAAAACCCATCCTAAGCCATCCGAAACCCACCAAGCCATCCCAACCCCCATTAACATCCAACCCACCCTCCATGCCAAGCCAGGGCTAGAAGAAAACCGGGACATAGCTGAAAATAGCGGACACATGAATCCGATCTTTGTTTGTTGGACATGCCTAGCAGGGAATATGGAAAAATACAATCAATCTAGTTGGCCCGCCACTTGGTGGTTCAGCTGTCGGTTCGGCGCTGCAGTTCAGCGGCTGAGTCTCTGGGTGATCTTTTGCCGGCTTTTGGCCTGGCTTGGCACTTTGAGCTTGTTTGTTGCCTTTGTCTGGCTTGGCGGATGCTTGGCCAAAGGAATTAAATGTCTGAGTGATCGAGCGGACATGCAGCACAAATTGTATATTCTGGCAGGCCGCGTGTGTGGTTTGTAGTGGTATCGCGGCTGCGTCCAGCAAACAACCTGTGTTGGGAAATGCCAAGTGCTGCAACTGCACCGCCAAACGAAGCCGCACTACTAGCTGACTCCCGGATGCCCGAAGTTCAAGCTCAGAGATCTCAGTTTTGCAAGTTTCATCAATCTACCAAAAGCACGTTGGTGCGTCTCGCAATGGAAGGTCCTTCCCACACCTGCAGTAAAACCCATCAGGCACCTCAGAGTGAGCATGCGAAGAAAAAAAATGCATGCTAAGTGGTTCATGTTCAAAGGGATCCCCTCCAAAAAACGGAAAGGGGACACCTCCAAAACCGGGGGAAAACAAAAAACACGTCCAGGAAATTCTCGTGAGGTCCCGAAGCCATCGCCTCTTCTCAAAGAGCTCCAAGCGCATGGCGACCAGCGGCAGGCCGCAAAGCTCCACCAGGAAGTCAAGGAGCCTTCGGACGGCTGCGCTCGTTGCCACAAACCCCGATTCAAAACCGGGTAGGGACACCTAAATGGTCGAACCCAGGAACTTTAGTGGGATTGCTGCCCAACTTGAGTTTCATTGAGTTGGCTGAATCGAGCTCATGAAGCTCGATAATTGCCGGACCTACGTGCAGTGCCTGTTCGGCTTCTGGCCGATGTGCCTATGGTCAGCGTGCTTCAGGCGTCGAAAGTTGTTCGATGCCACTCTTCAGTGCGTGCCATGCAACGGCCAGCTGCCCGGTTCCCTAAACCTACTTTCTTGGCGAGGAGAACCGGCAACTGTCCGGGGCCTCTCATCCTGCAGCGTCCGCAGGAAGGGCTCCGCAGTGTCCGCTGCCCAGTTGACACCCAGATCCACCTGCAAAGCTTTGCGTCTGCGGCTACACACCCTGCGAAGCTTCGGGAACATTTGCTCTGCGCCAACTGGATTGGCTCAGAGAGGTGGCTTACTTAGATGGAACTCTTCTCTTGTGAAAGAGGGTCGCTCAAATCTGGGCGACCCGCCTCCAGTTTAGGGCTCCCAGGCAGGAGAAGTCCCTCATGCCTGCCCAAGCGACCTCTAGGGGAGAAGGGCCAACATGTCAAACTCAGGACGCAAAAGGATGGCTTGGTGAGGACACCATGAACATCATCCGCATTCCGAATGGAAAACACAAACACGCTGGAGAGGAAGTGTGCAACCCAAGCACTGGGTGTTTCAATCCTGACTGATATCACGCCACTCGCCTCCAGGTTGTCTGCCAAAAGATCTCGCAGTCCTCGGCTGTGTTACCCAGCACCGAAATCCTTCCGAAGGCAAACACGTCGCAAAGGCACGCGGACAAAAACAAACTACACACACAAACACATGCACAAATACTCCAACCCCCAGCCGTCAGCAAGCAAGCAAGCAAGCAAGGAAGCAAGCAAGCAAGCGAGCAAGCGAGCCAGCCAGCCAGCGAGCGAGCGAGCAAGCAAACAAACACACAAACACACAAACACACAAACACACAAACACGCAAACACACAAACACGCAAACACACAAACAAACGATCAATCAATCAATCAATCAAATCAAACAAACAAACAAACAAAACTAACAAACAACCAACCAACCAACCAACCAACCAACCAACCAACCAACAACAAACACGCGACCACACAGGCACACAAATAACAAAAACACAAAAACAAACAGACAAACAAACCAACTAACCAACCAACAAACACACAAACACACAAACACACAAACAAGCAAGCAAGCAAGCAAGCAAGCAAGCAGGCAGGCAGGCAGGCAGGCAGGCAGGCAGGCAGGCAGGCAGGCAGGCAGGCAGGCAGGCAAGCAAGCAAGCAAGCAAGCAAGCAAGCCAGCCAACACACAAAAGCGTCAGCACGAGCACGTACACACACACACACGCTAACACACAACCACACACACAAACACAAACACGCAAATTAGCACAAATACACAACCACAACAAACAACACACACACACACACACTCGCACCCCAGCGCACTGACTTGCTAAATCACTCAACCAGCCACCCTGTCGCCGCGCAGGCACGCACCTACTGTCGAGCATTAGGAAGGACAAGGGTGCTCGAAAGTACTGTTATTTTAAAACCGCCTGGTCTTTGAATGGGTCGGTGATGCATGTTTCGCCAGGCTCAGGTTGGGCACATGGACTGCTTGATGTCTGCCTTGCTATTTGGCGGCGCTATTCAGCGGGAAAATGCAGCCCCACCGATGTCCGGTAGTTTGTCTGGCTGGCCAGCACACCATTTATGCGGGTGTGTGAACGTGATGCAACACCCGTTGCCCCTTCCACCGAGTTCTCAGCTGTCTCTTGACTGCCCTGCAGACTTGCAACCACTGAGCAGCCTGTTTCCTGACACTAAGTAATAACGCCAAGGCTCTGCAACATGGCTACTAACCAAATGATCTCACGCATAATGCGGCACTTAAGGCCGAGCACACTTGTTGGGACGCACAGCTGGTGTAGCAAGCTTTTACTCACTTGCCCAAAGGACCCAGAAATAAAAGGTCAACCTTTTGTCACCTCCACCAAAAAATTACACCAAAACGGGAAAACCAAAAGGTCGAAAGGTCGGCTTTGGGCAACTGAGATTAAGCCAAACATGAAAACAGGACCAGCGGCGCTCGTCAAAGCTGCCCCTCAGCTGCTCCAAGTGAAGCGGCCTGACAGGCCAAAAGCCGGCTGCTTACTTGGCTGTGGGTCAAAAACAGGTACCCAAAAGGACGGAAACCTGCGGGTCCGCTAGTGGTTTAATTTTGACCCACACCCACTTGTTGAATCTGAAGGTCTTGTCCCAGGCAAAACTTCAGGTACTTTCTTCCCCCCCCCGAAGAAAGACAGGAAGAAGAGGATGCTCTGGGCCATGTTTCTATGCTAGTGCAATTGTGGCCATCAAATGCAAGAATCACTTAGCATCCCTGTAGCAATGAGTCTCAGCGAGCTCTTAATTATTTGTTGTCTATGTTGTCCTTCTCTTTCTTGCAAGGCCCCATTGAACTGCGCATGAAGAGCGATACACGGTTCTGCACCCCACCACAAGGTGGTGGGGCGGGGGGAGGGGACATACATTTGCTGGCCGTCGCTTTCCCTGGAACTAAAGGTACAGGAAACACTAGTCACCAGGAGCAGCAATAGGCAGCTGAACAGTAAAATGCATTCGGCATGCCAAAAGTGTGTGCTTGCTTGGCTCCTCAACTCCTCCGTGTTGGGTGAGAGCCCTCCTACCATCCCAGTTCCTCATTTCATGACGTGGTGTATGCTGGTGTTTCCGTACCCCCGCTTAACAAATTTAAGTGGTACCCGCTCCTATACGAGCGAGGGGCTGAATTTATTGATGTCATTGCAGCTGGAAAGACTCAACCAACCCAAGATATACATCATATGGTCCCTACCTCAAGTGGTTTCAACCATGCATGGACTATACATGTTCCTGTTAGTTTGTCATATGGCAGCCAAGGTCATGAGGGTCCTCCCACCATCCCTGTGTAGCAGACCCGGCCAACAACAAGTTACTCATTATGTTTTCAACAAGTGACATGGGAGGTAAAAGGTTGATCTATCCCCCTTGCACACTTGCACTTTTTTTAAAGATTCTAGACTGTCTGCAAACAGGGCCCTTCCGTCTGGCTTATGTAAATTCAGCAAATACAACAAATGCAAGTGTTGCTAAACAAAGCAACAAATCATCAACAAATCATAGGAACACAACAGGCCTCCACAGTCGCGCTACGAAAACCGCCGGCCGCAAAGCGTCTCGTGATACCCAAGCCTTAGAAAGGACTCGAAGATGCAGAAGCCATCCTGTGCCGTTCAGGTTTGTGCCAGTAGGTCGGCGGGCAATAAATCGACAAAAGCTACGGCCTGCGGCCATGACCTCGACCGGTGTGCGTTCGGCTGCGAATGGAGGGTTGCTTCATGCCACATCTAGATTGCTTGGTAGCCTTGACGTGCTTTACCGCCTTTACGCCACCAAGACATTGCAACTTCCCAACCGCTGGATGTCACGAAGGCTTGCACATGCTTCATGCTCCGGTGCTCCGGCCTGATCGAAGCGTTTGCAAGCTTCGGCACCTGCAAACCATGGGTTGGGGTGTTGTGATGGAGCTCCGCCGGCTGAGGATGTTGCTGGGCGTCCCGGGAACCAGCAGCAAGGAAACATATGTTGTATGTGAGTCGACCATGAGTCTGGAACATTAACAAAACGAAACCAAGTCCTCCCACTCAGGCTGGCTTATACAAACCAACCCAGACCTGTCTTCAGCGGCGACCTGCCCAGGTCAGGTGTGCCTAAGCGCCTGCAATGCATCCAGCCCGTGTCTTAGGCGTACGCCCTTCGTGCACTGAAGAGGCTAAATTCTGCGGACTCGTGCATCAGCAAAGGGCCTGGTCCGGCAATATGTCGACTATGTATTAACATAAGTATTAATATGTATACCTGTAGGCTGCAGGCTACTGTGGGCAGCCTACTTGCAAAGCGGATCAAACCCAGCACTGTCGACGGCGCCTGCTTCGAAGTCGTCCGCCAAAAGAACCATGGCTCAACACTGGCCCTACTGCAGTCTGTACACTGCAGGCTGCTTGACGGCTCATGAGATGGCTGCGAGTACATGCACATACCACCTGCTCCAAAATGCAGCTCAAAATGAATGCTTGCTTGCTTGCCTGCACCAAGGAGAACTAAAACGATTTCACTCCCAGTGTGGCTGCAGGGACTACTGCCAAAATGAGGGCAATTTTGCCCACTAGATGCAGTCCCCGGAGCCTTTGCAAAAGGGAGGCGATTACTTGCACTCACCTAGGGTGGGGCATCACTCTCAGTCAAGGGTCGGCGCATGTATAGAGACAAATCTGGGTTACCTGAGTCGAATTCCGTTCCTGAGGCATCGGAGGGTTGGTTGCCGCCTGGTGCCCACTTGCTGACCTGCAGGTCGACGGCTTTCACTCACAGGGGGGGGGGGGGTAGAGACGATCTTGGCATGTTCGGTGGTGCATGTGGCCTATTGATAGCTTCATTTACCTGACTTAGTTGTCTGCATTCCGAAGGTTCTGACGCGGCTTCTCTTTCTGTTGGACAAGGCCGCTGAGCTGCAAGAGTTTGACTGGGCCAACTGCCTCACTGTGACTGGGACGGGGGAGGCCACACACTTGTGCTTGGATGCCCAGCGTTCCTTAGCCTCCTAAGCCTGTTTCGGCGCCAGGTCTGGCCCAAAAGGCGTTCAAATATTCCACCCCGCTGCCAAATGCCCATGGTGTCATGGCATTTTTGCATAATGCTGACTAGTTCCTCACTTGGCAAGAAGCGAAGACCGCTTGTGGAGGAACTGTACGTGCGAATGTAAAAGCTACAGTCGCTGGATAGGCGCATAGGCCCCACCTGCTTACACACATGAAACAACGCACCAACGTCTTCTGTTGGTGAGTGAAGAAGCCCAGCAAACCCCCAGCTCGGCAATAATTCAAGTCTGGGCGGAAAAAAACAAAAAAGAAACACAAGAACGGCCTTCCAGACTGTTGACTGCGTACCCGAACCCCGGCCCAAACCAGCACTGTGGAAACACGAGCTGCCTGCGTGCAGCTCGATAAGCCTGTTGGTGTGAGCCATGTTGCCACAAGCGGCTCACTGGGTTGATCCAGCGGCGCGCCCCTTGTCAGCACACCCTTCTCTGAGACATGCTGTCACAAAAACTTTACAAGGCTGGCGACATGACAAGGCCGAAGGACAAGTGTGGCCCCGGGGAAGGGCCCCACAGCCACTTAACATTGAGGCAAGTGCTCACGTGATTCATCGGGGCTACAGCAAGCGAGCGCGGAGCCCAGAAGCAAGGAGGGCGGGCCCACTGGGCAAGAAACATCCAAGGTCTGCTCCTGCTAAAAGAATGCTTTCACATCCTTTAAGTGGCCACTGCAACAGAAAAGTGAGTGACCTACAAATCCTGCAAAATATCATTATGGATAGCTCGTGTGGCCGCTGCCGTGATCGGCCGGAAGAGCTTGGTTGAAGGCAGGGGTACTGAACAAGCTAGCACCGGCAAATGCAAACATATCCAGCTGCACCCTGTTCTTCGCAAACAAATCCATAAAGCCCGCTCAATGTGCAAGCAGGCGCACACACTGCGTTCACAAATCCAAGAACAGAGGGTACCGGGTATGAAAGGAACTGGTCGAAGCAATCACTCAGGAAAAGGCCAGAGCGATAAGGGCAAATTGTATCATCCAGCACTAAACAAACAGACATCATGGATGCTAAGCAAAGCAATTGCTACAACATGTGTCAGCTTCCACCCCATCCAACAGCTGCAAATCATCACAGTTGCCTTATTTCACAATGTCGGCAGTTTGCACATTTGGCTTCGCAAACTCTGAAATTGTTTCTCTTTGAAATGTTATTCTCACTAAGGGGAACTCTTGAAAACAAGAACCTGCAGCGTTGCAAAAAGCAATCTAGGCTGTTGTCTAGTGTAGTGCAAGTTCTTCAGTTTGTCTCCCTGTCCCTTCATGCTGCCCCATCTCCCTTCTCACAATGCTTGTTGGCATTGGAGTGATTGCTTCTGACTTCTTTCAATCTGGATCCAACATTACCATTGAAACAACAACACCTCACCCTCGCCCACTGGCAGCCCTGGGAAGACTACAGCCGCATACTCTGGCCGGAGCGCCCCAAGCTCAGCAAACAACTAAGCCTTCCAACACAAAACAACTTCCAAGGCGTGATGGAGGCCAATGGGTCGCATCAGCCCGACTGTAAGAGACGCAGCTCATGCGCCCGCTTACGGAGCATGGCCCAAAGCCAAAGCAGAACGTGGCAACGTGCTAGTAGGGGAGCTGTCTGTCTGGAATGCTGATGGTTGGCATGCGTGATTTACAGTTTCCTCAAGGCAGTGGACGTAAATATGTGTTTCAAAAGTTTCTGCATTCGAATCACGAGAATATGGACCTCTCCCCGCCTTGATGGCACAGGACAATTTGTCAGCCCCTTGTCTGCTAGCCGTACCCTCACCATTCTCTTCCGGGATCCTTCTCTCCAGAAAATGGCAGGAAAGCCAGGGAAAATGGGTGGCTTCCCAAAAAATAATCGGTGAACATACTCTGTGGCATGATCTTGACATCTGCAGGGACAACCACGTCAAATGGGCATTCACCTACGTCTCCCGCTTGGGTTGTGTGGAATTGCTCCGCAAGCCAAAGCCAAAGCCCTGAGCAACGTCACAAAGCCATTTCAAATGGTGTCATATGTGTACTCGTGCCTGCACACAGGACAGGTGCCCGAGTTGTTTCTGCCAGAAGTCGACCAGGCTACCTCAGGAGCATTTCAATGCAAAAGCACAATCTGAGGATGACAAAATTATCAATAGCGTTGTGCAGTCAAGCCAACCCTCCGAAACAAACATGCTCAGCAATGTTGCTGAAGGGAAAAAAGCAATCAATGTCTTCCATGATTCATTGATGCAGCTCGTCGGCTCAGCACTGCGATACTGAGCCCTGTTTTAAATACCCAGTTGTGCCGTACATCGGGCAATAACTCGAGATCCTGATTGACACCAAGGCCAAATGATGTTTCTGTTCACGGAATCAAACGACTAAAAAAAACAGTCGCGCACACCAACCCACAAAATCGCCCACACACCTGCCCGTCTCCGAACTCCAGCCACGTCGCAATGCAGTCCCGGCAAAAGAAGTGCCCGCAAGGAAGCAAAGCCACGAGGCTGTCGGCCTGAAAGTCCGAGTAGCCTTGGATGTGGTCAAATCTGCCAATGCCATGTGTGCGCAATGCCAACCTGACGGTTCCCACCACTTGTGGCTACTGCCACGGCTACTAATGCCGCATCATGCAATGGAATGCTCTTAGCTTTCGCCCTCATTGCAAACCTTCTGAAAACAATCCAGACATTGCTGCATATGGCACACACTGGGCTCCATCATGCTGCATCTGATGTATGGCAGAAAGGGAATTGAGTGTGAATGACAGCATCAGCTTTGTCAAACGCAAACAGGAGATATTCTGCTGTTGCTCAGAAGTTAGTCATCGTTCGTGCTGCATAATCCGGCCGTGCAACAGCAGCAGCAAGCGCTCACAAAGCGCGGCGGCGCGACGCTGTCAAGGCCTGCAAGTACAACCGGGAATGCAACGTGGGGAAAGCTGCCAGCCCTTCCATCTTCATCACATATGCCATGCTGGCGCCACGACGCGGTCAATGTCAAAAACGCAGTAAGCCGCTTCAGACCTTTCGGCAAGCATACCCGAACAGAAACACAAGCACTTCCGTGACGATCTTTTGGCACAACGTTGGCGTTGCCCTGGGAAGCCTCTTGGAGGACGACAAATGGCTGTTGACTGCCTGAACACATCCATCAGGGGGTGAAAAAGCCGGCAGTTGACTGTAGATCATGCTCTGGTTTCCCCTAGGCTTGAAAAGCGCTTCGCTTTCGCTGTATGACTTGCTGTGGCACTTCCGGCCACCATCGGCCAAGCAATCTTGCCAGACCTAAGCAGAACGCCTGCCTCGGAATTTGTGCCTGGCCCCTCTCAATTCCCCAGCCGGAAGCAGCACCTTCCAGCTCGCAAACCATGGCCACCGCCTGGGCGGCAAGGACAGCGCAAGGGAGGTGATGCTGGCTTCGCTTACACCGCCAACACGGATGGATCTGCTAGAATCGATGCTGCCACCATGATGCAACTCTCAGCAACATTTCGGCCACCATGAGAGCTGCCAACCATTTACCTGCTTAACATCCAGCCGTCAAAAGCAACCTGTCAAGTACCAGGGCGGCTGCAAGTGTCAATTTTTGGTGCTGCTCCGCTCTTTGATCCCAAAAGCAAGCGCGTTCCCGCCTGCAATGGGAACGCAGGATTCATAAGCAACCTTTTGATTGGGTTGTCCCAGTAACAGGAACCTTCGAGGAAACAAACCCAACAGGGGGTGAACACCCCTGATCCCGGTTGATTCCTCCATGGACATGTTGCGTCCAAAGCGAGATCCTGGAAATGACCCTACATGGTTCAAAGAGGTAGACCAGCCCAACGCAGTGAGAACCCCTCAGCCTCTTCGCTTTCAGTTGGACCCTCGAGAGTGCCAGGGCACGGTGGAGCCGCGACATCTGGACAGCTGCCAAGCGCAGAACTGGGCAGAAGTGCCAGTCTCGCCGTACCGCAGCTGGGCCCAAATGCGGAAGACCTGAAGTGGCAGATGGCTATGAGAAACTTTGACGTGGTCAAAAGGGGGGCTTTTTCCCGGGCTTGCTTTGGTCAACCGTTTTTTACCCAACCTGGGGTGGTCGCAACTACGCGCTAGGCTGGTTGGTGCATGGGGCTGCGGGCCACGGAAAGTGGATTCTTGCAGGGCAACAATAAATACTCGTCGGAACACTCTCACGATCATCTTCCGCAATCAGGACTGCGTGATTTCCCCTCAGCCACCGAACTTGCAAACGTGTGTGTGTGTGCCAATGACTGGCATGCTGCGTCAGTGGCACAAGGTTTGCAAATCAAGGGTTACAAGGTTTCAGGCTGCAGATCTGGGCAGCTCTGGACAGGGCCTGACAAGCCTGGCCTCTGCTCTTTCTGAAGGTGACGAGCTGTAAATCCTGACCAGCTTGTTCCT